TTTCTTTCATTATATTCTTAGTATTTAAGTTTTTTATATTCATTTCTTTTTAACTTTTTAAAGTTTGTTTAAAAGTAAGACAGACACACACATTATCCTGGGCTTACACAGACAGATGATGAAGATGTCACTAGGCACTAGGAATTTTTCAGCTCCATTATAATCTTATGTGAACACCATCGTTGTATATGCAATCCATCACTGACCAAAATGTTTTTTTTATTTTTTATTTTTAGAGACAAGGTCTCAGTTTGTTGCCCTTGGTAGAGTGTCGTGGAGTCACAGCTCACAGCAACCTCTGGCTCCTGGACTTAGGTGATTCTCTCGTCTCAGCCTCCTGAGTAGCTGGGACCACAGGTGCCCGCCATAATGCCCAGCTATTTTTTTGTTGCAGTTTAGCGGGGGCTGGGTTAGAACCCGCCACCCTCGGTATATGGGGCTGGCGCCTTACTCACTGAGCCACTGACAGAAATGTTACGTGCTCCGTGACTGTATCCCTCTTCTCCCACTAAAAGCTAAGAAAGTCTATAACTAACAAAATAGTTTGAAAATCAACCTCACATCCCTAATCCCAATCTCAATTTCAATATTTTATTCACCTTATTCCCCCTACATTTTGCTCCTCCCCATCCCAATTCAGGCTCAATCTAACTAATCTGGAGATATTACCAAAGGGTAAGGGCCATTTCCTTTACTTTTTTGTATTCCCCGTAGTACTGAACATAAGACTAATACATAGTTCATCTTTAATCTTTCCTTAGGTTCTGTTGGGCTTTACTATCTTGGACTATGTATTCTGGGGGTTGTTGTGTCTGAAAAACGCCATCACTTTCCTCCCAAAAGCTTGTGGAAGGAAAGGATGAAGGAATAGATAGATGCTCAAACAGTAAATAACTTCTTTTGTAATTCAGAGTCTTTCCTACTCTTCCCAGGAAGTACAGCATCAAAATTACCTCATATTCTTTCCCTCTTTTGGTGTGGGACAACAACAATCCATCCAGTTTTGTTGAAGCTATTAAGTGAAAGCTACAGGAGACTTCCTTGCTCTCTCAATGCAAATCATAGATTACAAATGTTTATTAAATTGACATGTCTTTAAAAGGGACTAAGGGACTCAGAAACATTTGAGAGAATTCCTCTTGTGTCAAAGAAACAAAGAACTGGCACCAAAGAACACTCAGGTGCTAGTCCCAAGAGCCTAACACCGTCTCCAAGCCAATGTACCTACAGCCACACTGGTCTTTTGGGCCCTGCCTGGGAGTTCTTGCAGTCCTGTCAAACGGACTTAACTCTACCCACAATCATTTCTCCCTACCTTAAGTCTGAAACAAATTTTTGAAATATGCTTCTAAGCAATGCCCAGATACTTCATGAAGAAGATAACACTTTTTCTTTTCATTCCTTTCTTGGGAAGGAGGTTCTAGGCAGGGCCAAACCCGCACCCCGTCTCTCACTTCCTAACTTTTGGTTCCCACCAGCATCCTACCCAGTCTCAAAGCCTTAAAACAAGCTGACCTCTTCGCAAGACCCACAGTGGTGAGGGAAAACGGGAAGCACTTTCGCATCACTCCACTTAGCGAGTGACCCAATCTGGCATTTACAGAGCGGCCACTAGCCAGAAAGTGCCGGCCAGCCCCGGGGAGGGAGTGGAGCCAGAGGATGCGCGAGACGCGGAGCGGTGCATTCGCTCCTCTTCTCCACCCTCCCAGAGGCAGCCGCCGAAGTGCGGAGATAGAGGGAGCGGGCGGGCAGGCGGGCGGACGGGCCGTTCCCCGCAAGGCTGGCTCATCTGCGGGGCCTCCGCCCAAACCGCCCCGCCTCGCCAGAGCCCGGATCAGGGATCCACGGGAGGGGAGTGGGCGGCCCCAGGGCCCTTCCAGTCCTACCTTCCCCGACTCCCTGAGCTCCATGGCCCCGCTTTCAGTGGCCCGGCTGACCCCGCCACTGCCTCTAGGCCGCCCCCTCCCCCCGCAGCCTGGCCTGAGGCTCCTGGAGGGGGAGGGCGCCCTGGCGGGAAGGGAGCACAGACCAAGAACTTCACTCTCCCACGTCTGGGGGCGGTGGCGCTGGCGCAGCCAGAAGAGGCGCTGAGCAGGGACTAGCGTCGCACTCAACGAACCGCTTTACGGCAACCGCCTAGCCCGAGGCGGTGGAGCATGACGGGAAGCGTAGTCTGGCCTCCCGAAGGGCCTCGCAGCTGAGCTTGTGATTAATAGGCAACAGCTCCAGAGTTCTTCCGCAGGGCGCAGTTGGGACTAAGCATCCTAACTGGGCTATGAAGTCCTGCTGCCTGGAATTCCTAGGGCCAGGGATAACCTTGAAGGGTTCCAGGTTTTATCTAATCAAAGAGGGCAATACTTTTTCTTACGTTTATTCAAAAAGCTTCATTGGTTGCCTACCATGGGTCAGGCTCTGATCTGGGTTTGGGAGTATACAACTGAGACAAAGCCCCGCCTTCAGGAACTCAAAGCCTTTTAGGGAAACAGACCAGAAATAGATAATTACAAAATAAAGAGACAGATATAACGAAAGAAGTAAGCACAAGATACTAATTACAGCAAGCTTTGTCACCTTAGAGTGAAGTGATGGGAGGATATTGGGGTGGTTAGTAAAGGATTTTCTGAGTGCGTGGTAGCTGAATTAAAATAAGAGGTAGGAGTTAGCAAGGTAAAGGAGATGCTATGGACTGAATTGTGTCCCTCTCAATTCATATGCTGTACCCCAATGTGATGGTATTGAGAGATGGAGTATTCAGGAGATAATTAGGTTTAGACGAATTCGTGAGGGTATGGCTCTCATGATGAGCTTAGAATCCTTATAAGAATTTGAGGGGGGCCAGGGCAGAACGCTATAGTTTGTGTTCCTCCAAATTCCTATGTTGGAAATTTAATCCCCAATGCAATAGTATTAAGAGGTGTTTGGGGAGGCACCTGTGGCTCAAAAGGGTAGGGCGCCGGCCCCATATGCTGGAGGTGGTGGGTTCAAACCCAGCCGCGGCCAAAAAGAATAAAATAAATAAATATATTAAAAAAAAAAAAAGAGGTGTTTGGTTCCTTCACCCATGTAAAAAAATAGTATTAAGAGGTGGGGCCTTTAGGAGATAATTATGTCATCAGGGCTCTGCCCTCATGAATGGATTAGTGAACTTAAGCAAGGACAAAAGGAACTCCCTTTGCCCGTTTGCCCTTCTGCCTTTTGCCGTGTAAGGATGCAGCACCAAGGTGCTGGAAGCAGAGTCTAGTCCTTCACCAGACACAGAACCTGAGGGCACTTTGATCTTGGATTTCCTAACCTTAAAAATAGTGGGAAATAAATATCATTTGTAAATTACCTAGTTTCAGATATTTTATTATAGAAGCATGGACAGACTGAGAAAAAGACCACTCTATAAATATGTACTTGCTCCTTTCTCTCATCTTCTTTAAAAGACGTAAAATTATATACAATAATAATTATAACAATAAATTGTTTAGTTCATAATGTATAGATGTAATAGCTACAACAGCAGCACTTGTCTGACAAAGACAAGGTGATAAAAGAAAAAATAATAGTGCAAATAATATAAATCAAAGTGCATAAATCTTAAGTGTATAACTCAATTTATATATTTGTATATAACTCAATTTTTATATTTGTATATATGTATCAGGAAGCCACCATCTAGATCAAATATAGACAGCTTCTAGCACTCCTGAAAGCTCCCTGTGTTTCTCCCAATGTGTATATATGAAGGTAAAACTATAGAAAGTAAAGAACTGATTATTATAAAAAGTGTTGATAAAATTAACTTTTAGGAGAGAGAGAAGCAGGTACCTTTGAAAAGGAAAACATGGAAGCCTTCTGGTGAGAAGTGTTCTATTTCTAGACCGGGATGTTGATTACTCAGATGTTTGCTTTACACTTACTTGCTAAATTGTATGCTCAGTTTTATGCACTTTAATGGATGTCTGTTTTAAGTAGCAATTCAAAGTTTTAAATAAAATAAAGCAAATATAGTTTCAATTTTTAAAATTTTATTTATATATTGCCAAACTGATTGTTAAATATATCACTATTTAGCAATAAAAGGGAACAAGCGGTTTGGTGCCTGTGGCTCAAGTGGCTAAGGCGACAGCCACATACACTTGAACTGGTGGGTTTGAGCCTGGGCTCCCCAAACAACAATGACAGCTGCAACCAAAAAAGAAAAAATAGCTGGGCATTGTGGTGGGCATCCGTAGTCCCAGCTACTTGGGCGGCGGAGACAGAAGAATCCCTTAAGCCCAAGAGTTGGAAGTTGCTGTGAGCTGTGATGCCACTGCACTCTACCAAAGGCACAGCTTGAAGCTCTGTCTCAAAAAAAAAAAAGGGAACAAGTCACATGCTGTAATCTGGATGAACTTCAAAATCATCATGCTAATGGAAATTTATACAAAATGTCCAGAAAAGGCAAATCTGTTGATACAGCAGTTTAGTGGTTGCCTGGGGCCGAAAGTAGGAGTGATTGATTGCAAATGGGCATGATATGATGGAAAGGTTCTAGAACTGGGTTGTGGTGATGTTTGTGCAACTTTATTTTTTATAAAAGTCATTGAATTATAAACTTAAAACAGGTGAATTTCACTGTATGTAAATTATACCCCAATAAAGCTGTTGTCAAAAGAAGAGGGAGAAGGAACATCAGCTCACACGATGGGAGCCACTGCCATCTGCTGCAGCTGAAATCTCACTGGGTCTAAAGATACAGCCTGAGACAGTAGAGATGTCTAATACCAGAGGTCCTCAGACTGTATATTCAATATTGCCCTCCTATGGAGGAGGGAACTGAGACTTAGATATGGGAAGTGACTAGTCCAAGTTCACTAGACACGGTGAATGCCTGGTGAATCTATACACAGAGGTCCCCAGAAGATGAGGTCCTTGGACAGGTACAGGCCAGGGCTCAGGTCCACCCTTCCTCCCTTTCCCTCTGGGCCCAAGGATGGAGACTCTACACACAGACTTGCTGGCAGTGTCACTTTATTCGGGGTATGTAAATGCCAGGGCCTGAATGGGGGGACAGAAGGGTGAGCATGTGGGAGACGTGGTCAGTGTTGTTGGGCCGCATGGTCACAAGGAGGACAACAGTGGACTCTTCCAGCGGAGTTGTCAGCGCTTTGAGAAATCACCTCCTAGAGGACAAGTGATGGGGACATGAGCTAGCAAGAGAGTCCAGCGAGGGCAGCGGAAAGGGAAGGAAGAACTGCCAGGAGAAAGCTTAGAGCTACACTCAATGCAACCAGGCTGCCTTGGCACCCTTCCAGCCTTCACCTGAGCCGCCGGCCCCGCCCCTCCAAGACCACGCCCCCATGGAGCCCCTTCCCTCCAAGACCACGCCCCCACGGAGCCCCCGCCCAGACCTACCTTGGCAGGCACTGCACTGGCAGCTGTGGATGACCGGCAGCACCACTGGCTCTGTGTGGCCACCCGGACAGCGGAGGTTCAGAATCCGCACGGGGCTCTCGGGGTCTAGGCGGTAGCTACAGCAGTCACACTGGCTCTGAAGGTATGGTTCCTGGGAGAAAGCGAGCGACTGAACTGGAGCCAGTAGGAGTTTCCCTTAGCCTTTCCCATCCAAAAGGAGTGGGGCAGAGGAAGGAGGGCCAGAGCCCAGTACTCCTCGCCAAGCTGGCAGCTGAACCTGGGAAGGAAGCGTCACCACCAAGCACCCTTCCGTAAGAAGCCCACCACCTTCACTGCAGCGCCCACCCGTCTAAATGTCCAACAAAAAGAATGATTTTAATATGCCCATCACTGTATCCTTGCTGCAGGAGAAAGATAGGGCTTCCACCCCAGGATGCTTACAGTCTAAAGACAGACCAATCATGCAGGAAATGCAGCTAATTACACCCCAACCACATGGTTCTGATCCCAAGTGCAAAGTGAGTTCTCACTTCACAGAAGACTCCACTTGCCTATAATGATAGAGGACTTCTTCAGATGGCCCACTGAACATTTCATCTAATTTTGTGTGTAATTATATGTATAATTTTACTTTGAAACAGGCAGCACATTCACACCATACCGAGTTCAAAAACTATAAAAGGTTTTTCAGTGAAAAATTCTGGCTCCAACTTCTATCCCACTATCACCCAGGTTCCCTTCTCAGAAAAAAAAAAATCTCTTCATTACTCTCCTTATTCCCTCACTCTGTTCAAAAGTGATGTGGGAAAGCACTCCTGGGAAGGGCAGGGAGTACCCAGGGAGCTGGTGAGAGGCCTAGGGCTGAGGGCAGCATCTTTGGGGACCATGAAGAGTATCCGTGTCTTCCAGGACCAGTGAACTGAAGTGGGCTGAGGCCAGAGGGATGGCCACAGAGCTGAGGTAGTGTGAGACCAGGATGGGAACAGGAGGTGGAGAGAAGACTCTGGGAGGAGGGAACTTAGGTCACACTTTCTAGGCTCAGGATAAGGGGTGTCGGGGAGGGCACACAGCCCCTAAGAAAATCCCAAAAAGGAGTAAGGCTTGGCTTCTGGGTCCAGGGAGAGCAAGTACAGAGCAGAGTCACCAGCTCAACTCGGAGTCAGCCTTGCCAGGAAATGTGTATTTTATTTTTATTTCTACTTATTTATTTTTTTGAGACAGTGTCTCAAGCTGTTGCCTGAGTAGAGTGCTGTGGTATCATAGCTCACAGCAACCTCCAACTTTTGGGCTCAAGTGATCCTCTTACCTCAGTTTTTCTTTAGCAGACACAGGGATCTCGCTTTTGCTCAGGCTGGTCTTGAACTCTTGAGCTCAAGCAATCCACCCACCTCAGCCTCCTAGAGTGCTAGGATTACAGGCACGAGCCGTGGCACCTGGCCCACCAGGAAATGTGTAGACAGTCTACCCATGAGAGTTCTCACTCCGTGTGTGAGGGACTCTGATTTCAGAGTCTAACTTAGCTCCTCTGTGCCTTTCTTTCTTTTTTTTTTTTTTTTTGAGACAGAGCCTCAAGCTGTCCCCCTGGGTAGAGTGCCATGGCATTACAGGTCATAGCAACCTCCAACTCCTGGGCTCAAGCGACTCTCCTGCCTCCACCTCCCAAGTAGCTGGGACCACAGGCGCCCGCCACAACGCCTGGCTATTTTTTGGTTGCAGCCGTCATTGTTGTTTGGCGGGTCCGGGCTGGGGATTTGAACCCGCCACCTTAGGTGTACGTGGCTGGCGCCTTAGCTGGTTGAGCTATAGGCGCCGAGCCTGCCTTTCTTTCTTGTTGCCAGGACACAGAAGTCCCAGGACATGCTCTGAGAGCTGCATGCGGCCACAATAGCAGGCCTCCCTGGGGAGGGTGGGGGTACCCAGCGAGACCTTCAGGCCAGCCACAAAGTGCAAATCACTGCCTTGGCAAAAGGCTCTGGCCAACTGTATCCCCAACTCAACTATTAGCTCTACAAGACTTGACCATGTTTCTCATGTCCTCTGGACTTTAGCCAGGTCCTAGGCTCGTGGCAGGCCCTCAGGGGCACTGGCCAACCTGACTTCCCTGGGCCATGCAGCAGCTCCCTTGCTCACCTCAGGCATGACGTTCGTGCTAGATGGGCAGTGCCCACTGCAGTAGCTCACTTCTACCTGGTCCAGGTAGCAGGGGCCCTTGGTGAGGTTGCGCAGCTCTGTGAGGTGCCGGCAGGAGGCTGACTGCTCCTCTGTGGGCCAGAGTGGGGGCAGGGCAGAGGAGGAGGCCATGACTGAGGGGGACTCTGGGGGGTGGGCAGTGCCTGAGTCTAAGTGGATTATGTTGGGGCATAGGTGGCCAGGTGCTACAATACAGTGCTGGGGGTCTTCACTCCTCTGACACCTCATGGAAGGTAAGCCTAGGGAGGCCAGCACATGCTAGGCTGAAATACCAGGTGTGGGGCAGTTAGGGAGAAGGGTCCAGACGAGGGAGAGGCTCAGTAGGAGGTTCCCAGGGTCCCTCTGTACCTGGAGTCTCCCGGTGGCAAGTGGAACAACAGCTCCCTGGCTCCTGCACGGTCACCTCACCCTGCAGAGGGAATAAGTCCTGGCCTAATTAGGAGGATGGCTGTGAAACAACAAGACCAGTACTGCCTGCCTAGAGGCCAAGACTAGCCTCAGAGGACCACAAAAAGGAGTGCAGGGAGCATCCTGAGAGGGCAGTGGGGCCGCAGGGTGTACCTGAGCACAAGTGAGGAAGGGGCAGTGCTGGCTGCAGACAGTCCTCCCACCAAGGCAGCGGCAGTTCTCACAGGCCTCCTGCCACTCAGATCCAGGCTAGGCAGAGTGGGGGAAGCCTCATCTTGGTCTCTCCCACTTGTAAACTTTTCTATAATAACGTCCCAGATTCCCAAACCCAGGCTGGGAGCACCTAGCTGGGGAAATGAACTTAGACTGGAGTCAGGCAACAAGGAATTTAGGAGGGAGATGGACTTTGGGGGCCAGAGACCATTTTAGTGTGACAGCTGAGCCTCCATGGGTATGAATTCAATAGATAGCGAGGCCCAGGGTCAGGAAGGGGTGATGGCAGCAGAGGAAATGTGGTGTCTCACCAGGTGGGGTTGCCCAAGGTGCCAGCACTCGCACTGGTCTGCAGGAACACAGGGGCCAGCCTGGCTGCGGAAGTGCCCAGGCTGGCACACGCAGCCCGAGGCCCGGATTGCACTGCAGTTGCTCAGAGTCTCTGTGGTGTTGGTCTCCTGGCACGTCTGCTCACAGGGTCCCAGGTCCCTAGGGGCTGCCTGCTGCCACATTTCCCCAGGGGGACACTCTGCCAGGAAGACCATCCCCCCCACCTTTCCTGTCAGCCCTGGGTTACCCCTTCCCAAGCTGGGAAGGCCTCATGTTCTTCCTCCCCTTCCCACATGCACCCTCCTGGGCTGCAGCAACCTCCAGACTCATGTTTTGCTCTAACACACCCTCCCAAACCAAGTCCTCCCTCCTCCAGGAAGGCTTCTCTGACCAATCCTGCTCACCCAACCTCTCTATTCTTGGCACCAAAGCTCTATCCTATTGGAATTACCTGCTTGTCAGAGACCCAGAAACTGGGCCCTGTCTCTACCTGTGTGGTGGGTGGTCTGTCCTCACCAGCCAGGCTGGAAGAGTCCAGGGGCTGGCATGCACATGTGTCTGAATGCACAGAGTCCAGCATGGTAGGCTGGCCCTTGGTCTTTTTTTTTTTTTTTTTTTTGAGACAGTGTTTCATTTTGTCACTCTTGGTAGAGTGCCATTGCAACATAGCTCACAGCAGCCTCAAACTCTTAGGCTTAAGACATCCTCTTGTCTCAGCCTCTGAGTAGTTGCGACTACAGGCACCCACCACAACACCCAGTTAGTTTTTCTATTTTTAATAGAGACAGGGACTTGCTCTTGCTCAGGTTTTAAACTCCTAAGCTCAAGTAATCCTCCCACCTCGGCCTCCTCCATGCCCCTCCTCCATCCTGTATCTCCACTCCCAGGGAAGAGGCTGCCTCCATCAGCCTCCTCTTCCCACACCTGCCTGCCCGACACCCAGGGTACTCACCAGGGCAGGGCTGCATGTTACACTCCTGCTGTTGCTCTGTGTCCTGGGCCTGGCACGGTGCCTTCCCAGGATCCCCCTTACAGCTCCGATGTCGTTCTGTGGTGCCCCCACCACAGGGAGCTGAGCAACTGCTCCAGGCTGACCAAGCCCCAAGGACTGGACACTCATGGTGTGAGCATATTAGGGATCCATTGACACAGGTGCTGTGGACAGGGGTATGCAGAAGGGGCTCAAGCCCTGAGCTCCCTAGGAGGTCCCAGACATGCCATAGTCTCCAAATTGCCCCAGGCCTCTGCCCTAACTACCACCCTGGCTTGGCCACCGTACCAGTTTTTACAGTCCAGCTGTAGCACCTCGGTGGGAGCCAGCTCCCATGAGGCATTGGCACTGGGGAGGCCACAGCGACATGAAGAGATGGGAACACAGTGCCCATCCTGCACCAGCTGGCCAGGGGGACAGCGGCAGCCTGGGGGTGGGAGGACAAATAAGTTCAGTGCTTGGGCAGGGCTTACATGATGGATCCCTCTGCCAACCATAACACTCACAGCCACCTGCAGGCATTGTCCTGCATACAGTAGTCCTGACTAAGCTGCACTCCATACAGCACTCAAAGCTGGCTGTAGGAAGTGGCCAAAGAAGCCACTGTCCTGCCCTGCAGTTCATGACCCAGCAGTCTGAGCTTCCCTTCCCCCAGCCCATACTCTCTGGGACCAGGAGGCTTCCCCAGATCTGCCAGGCCAGGTGGTAAAGACAGCCAGCTACCTGGGTGGCAGGGTCCCTGCAGACACTGAACGCGGTCCCAGAGGTCAGCACAGCTGCGAGGGCACTGGTTGGCACAATCAAGGGTGGGCACGGTGTCTTGGGCCTCACAGCTCTCCCCTGGGGACCAGAAGGAGGAGTCTGTTGGGATGTTCTTGGGCTTCCAAGACAGCCCCCTCCTTCTACTGCATGTCTCCGGGACAGAGGCAACAGCCCCCTCAGTACCATCTCTGGATGTTCCAGTCCCAGCCCCCTCTAGATGCAGGAATAGGAGTTACCTGGGCAGGGCTCTGTGTTGCAGCTCTCAGTCTGAGCCCATGGGCCCCGGCAGTCTCCTCCAGGGGGCACTCCTGCCTCTCTCCAGCGCAGCCGGAAACCCCCACTGCAGGGCACCTGGCAGATGCTCCAGGGTCCCCAAGGACTCCACTGGCACGCGTCTGGGATGATAAAATAGGGTCAGTACCCAGGCCTCACTTCCTGCCTCAACTGAGAGCTTTGGGCTCCATCCTGCAAAAACTCTGGCTGTCCTAAGGCCCACTTGGCTCCCTTCTTCCTCTTTCTTGCTGCACTTGGACCCCATCCTAGTTCAAATCTGCAGGTCCCAGAGGCACATAGGAGGCCAGCAGGTGCAGTGAGCTCTGCAGCAGCCCCACCCATGCTGCAGCCCCTCCCCATGATTTGTGGGTTCTGTCCCTTCCCATTACCAGGGCAGGCTGCAGGGTCAGGACAGAGGCGTTGCTGGTTAAGGGATGCGGTACAAAGGTGGGGATCCCCAGCCCAGGGCCTCCCTGTCTCAGGGTCCAGACAGAGACGGTGGCGGTGCTGCTCCGAAGCCAGCAGGGTGTCTAAGGTCGTGGAGAGACTGGCTGCTCCCTGGGGCCAGTGCTCCTTCAAGGCAGTCCTGGAGGCAGGGGCCAGGGCGCTGAGGGGCAGGCAAGGCCCACAGGGCGACCACTCGGACCAGCCACTCAGAGGCAGAAGACCTAGAAAGGTAGCAGGTGGATGCCCTTCCCAGTGACTCCCCCTGATCCAAGACCTAGTGGACAGGCAAGGAAAGACTCAGAAATTGCGACCAGGACAGGTCAGAGACAGGAAGGGATGTGACAGTGTGAGGGCAGGGAAGGGTGATCCACTGTCTGGTTTGCCAGGGACTACCCTGGTCTTATCACCGAAGTTCCATTCCCCAGAAATCCCCTGTTCTGGGCAAATGGGCCCACTGTCTCCCAGGCTAGGGTTACCTTGACAGCCCTGGCTGGTGCACTGCAGCTCCCCGTGTTGGCATTCACTGTGGAGGGAGTGGTCAGGTGGGTTCTGTGAGGGAGGACCCAGCCTAGAGCTTGAGGGGGCTCGTGCAGGGGCAATCTGAGCTCCGGACATATTTTGGGCAGATGAGGGCTGCATCTTGGGGTACTCTGCCAGAGGCTGAACTGGGTCTCTGGGGGGCCCTGCCCCTACTATTTGGGCCAGACTCTGCTTCCCTCCCCCTCCACTCACCACTCTTTACAGCCCAGCCGAAGGTGGTCCCCGGGGGCCAGGGTCACCCTGGCTCCCTCTCCTGAGGTATGCCAGCAATCACACTGCTCTGGAGGAACGCAGCCCCCAGCCTGCTCCAGCAGCCCCTGTATGGAAGGAGACACAGGTGGGCCATGTGATAATCACTCTGTTGCCCCCAACACCCAGCCTTACAGGCTGCAGCAGGAGCACATGTGTGTTGTGTGGTGCTGAGTGGATGGACGGGTGAGTGAACACAGGCTGGGAAGAGACTCTGCACTGTGCAAGTGGCCGGGTCACCATGGCATCGTGCAGAGGAGGGGAGTGGGTGTGTGGACAGCAGACCCTTCCTCTTGGGAGTTGCCCCAGCCCACAGCCCTCACCTCAGGGCAGTAGCAGCCAGGCTGACAGGGCGGCAGGTCCTGGCAGAGCTCCCCACTTAGGTGTGTGGCACAGAGCCTGGTGCAGGGGGAGCCACAGGCCTGGAACTCAAAGGGAGGCAGGCAGCTGTCCTCTGTGGGAGGTGGGAGACAGGCAAGTGGAAGCACAGCTCAGGGACATGTCCCACCCATGAAGCTCAGAGCACACATTGCATGGTCTCACCGAGACCTCTTGAGGCCACCTGGGGAGAATACAAGACTACCCCCTGCTGCATGTCAGGACAGACTGGCGCCCCTCCTTGCACCCCCCACTCAGCCTTTGTGGGTGCCCTTGGGGAAGGATCAGGATGGGCTGGGCCTTGGGGAGCCAGGAGTGAGGAGCCTAGTAGATATTCCAGAGACTGGCAGATGGGAGACAGGAGCAAAGATGGGGGTGGCTGCACAGGGAGTGGGGTGGGCAACACACACATCCAGGGGGGGCAGCTAAAGGCCCAAAGCCACGGGTAAGTCAGCAGCTCAGAGTGGGAAAATCATGTTGGGGGGCTATGACTAGAGTAGCTGGCAGTCAGGGAGTAGCTGGGTGCCAGGGCAGGGCTCAGAGCAGGTGTGGCAATTGTTCTGGTATCCCAGGGGCACTACATTGTCCGTGAAAGGAACTGGAAGTCCCAGGGGAGCCACTTGGTGGCTCAGAACCCTGGATTTGTGCTCCTGGCATCTCACCAGAGCAGTTCCCGGTGAGGCAAGGCCGGAAGTGGCCATCCAGCCGTGTGCAGAGGGTGCCTGCCCCAGCCCTGCCCGGCGCTGGGCTCTGGTGTCGGTAGCGCTGCTGCACCAACACCTGGCAAGAGCAGCGTGTCCAACTGCTCCAGCTGCTCCATACACACTCCTCTAGGGACAGGAGGTGGGTGTCAGCTGGGACCTCCCCATCGTCTGTCCTCCCCACTCAGCCCAGCCCTGCTGAGACCCAGCACGGGACAAGGGACTAAGGGAACCAGAAAGGTCCAGCTGACTGGATTCCCTCCACCTGCCAAGGGCTTCAAAGGGAAGAAATGGTAGGAGAATGAAAACAGTGAAATCTCGGGGGACACAGAAAAAGTTATAGATATATTTGGGGGGATCTCCCGGGAGCTGGGAATATATGTATTATTCCTTAAGTTTCCCAAGAAAGGAAAACAGGGGCAGGGGCTTCACTCCCTCTGCACACTCACCCAGGCAGGGTCCTGAGTAGCAGGCCTGGGTGTCCAGGTGGGAGAAGGTGCCATTGCAAGTGGGGTCTGCCTCCACCAGCAGGCAGGGGCAGGACCCGGGGCGGGAGGCCAGGCCCGGGCTGCAGCTGCGGGAACAGGGTCCCCATGGACCCCAGGAGCAAGCCTCCAGCAGCTGCAGGCAAGGCCGCTGCCCACAGGACTGGGTCTGTGTGTTGGGACCTGGGCAGGCTGGGGCCCTGTGGCCAGGGGTCGGGGCCACACATCCCCGGGTGCGGACCCGGTTTCCTCCTCCACAAGAGACAGGGCAGCCGGACCAGGGGGACCACAGCATCCAAGTCCCAGGCACTGTGAGAGGGCACAAGTGAGACTAGAGGAGGCCAAGGGAACAAAGGGCAGAGGGCAGGGTGGGAACTTCATGGCCGAGGGGCTGGTAGTTGGGGATTGGGAGACATGAGACAGAGCAGATGGCAGGCAGGGCACATGCTTAGGAGGGTTAAGAGGGCTGTGATGAGTCCCAGACCTGTGCACTCAGCAGTGTCCTCACAGATCACACCCTCCGGGGTGCAGGAGCTGTGGGGAGCCCAGACTCAGGATATTGCTCTCCAGCAGGATGGTCCTGGCCACCCTCACTAGCTGGCACTTACCACTGCCCACATTCCCCTTGTAGCCAGCTGTCCCCCAGGAGTCGGGGGTGAGCATTTTGCAGGCACAGGGGCGGACATGGGGGCTGAGGACAGGGTTTGCTTTGGGACTGCTCCTCTCGACACTCTGGGGCCCATGAGTCTGATGTGGAGGACCTGGGTGGGCACAGGAAAGAGGAGGTGAGAGATAGCCTAGGCTTCCATCACCTCATGCCTTCTGCTGAGCAACCTCCCAATGGTAAACCCAAGGGTGGGTATGGCAGGTAGTTAAGGAAAGGCTGAGGTAACCAGGGATGGAATTGGGCCAGGGCACAGGGTGATACAAAGTCACTGGAGAGGGCAGGGCCCAGGCACTCTTTGTCAGGCGGGGACAGGTGGTGGTGGTATCTAGCCTCACTCCACGCCATACCGGAAGCGGCTCTGCTGCCCTCCAGGACCACACGAGTGGCTGCAGGAACTCCAGGCTGACCAGCGGCTCCAGGCACAGTGTGTGGGAGGTGGGCAGGGCTGGGCCGTGCAGGAGAGCTGTCCAGCCTGACATGAGCAGTTGTTGCAGGCGTTCTGGTGCTGGCTCCCGGGGGCCCAGCTGTGGCCCTGAGCATCTGTGCACTCACAGTGCCGGATGGGCACGCAGCTGCCATCCTGCTCCAGGGACCCTGCAGAGAGGTGGCCCTCAGGGCTGGTGCTGGCACCCCTGGAAACACATCCACTTTTCCTCTGAGCTGTGCTGACATTCCTGAGGGCTAGGAAGCACCCACCTTGGTAGCACCGGCAGCCCTTCTGGCAGGCCTGGTCGTCCTGACACACAATTCCCTCCTGGAGGTCTGAGCAGCGGCGGGGACAGCGGTTGGCACAGGTGACCATCTCCATGCCTGCTGGGCAGCCTGCCTCTGAATGGATAGGAGGGCCCCTCAGGGCTCAGAAACCCTCCCTCTGCTTTTTGTGGGGGACCCCTCACCTCCCAGAGGCTGCAGGACCCATCCTATTCCATGCAAGTGCTCATGGAAACCCAGGTCCTTGGTGAGACCCAGAGAGTTCCTCTTACCTACCTGAGAGTTCCTAGCACCTAACCTGGCACCCAATAAATGCAAGCTGGGCAGAATCCATGCATCCCAAAAGCCAACCTTCCCACCTAGAGCCCCCTGGTGTCCACCCAGAGGGGGAGGAGGTATCAGTGTCAGTGGGGTTTCCTAAAGGATTGGTGAGCTCAGGAGGACAAGTGAAAGCAGGTACCAATGCCTGGAGGGACTGGGAGTGGGCTGCAGGGCTCACTGGGGCCTGCTTGACCCTGTCTACATCCCACAGCACCAGGTATGCACCTGACTGACAGTATCAAGTCTCCTGAAAATCTCAACCTGACTGGTGGTTCCACAAGAATGATGGGTGGGGAAGCTGAGAGGAGGAGCTGCCCCTCAGGGTGGGGCCCAGGCCAGGCCCAGCTGTCTACTGCTATGGGGCTCAGTTTTCTTAACAGGCCAGTGAGAGAGCAGCCTGCATTCCTCTCCATCACACGATTTTGTGGGGCTGAAGTTAGAGGTGGGGTAGCTGTCACCATTGTCATACCACAGGGCATGGGATTGCAGAGCCTGATGTGGTGCCTCTCCCCAACACAGGGAGCACCCCCGTTCTTGGGTGGGGGGCTCGAGCATCTGCGGCTCCTCAGGGATTGTCCTCCTCCACAGCTGCGGTCACACCAGGACCAGGGGCTCCAGCGCGACCAGCCCCCAGGCACTGTGTGGGACAGAAAATGTCTACATTAGGGGTCAGCTCAGGCAGGGGGTTCCCAAATGTCCCACAAGTCTGGGCCAGGGTTCCATGTGAGAAGTGGAAGTCTCAAATTCCGGCAGGTGGTACCTGGGAGGGAGCCCTGATGCGAGAGACCTCTCATGGGCAGAGCCAGGGAAAGGCCCAGTCAGCTTACCTGGACAAGCACGCAGGCTGCAGAAGCGGCGCTCCTGGTAGGCTGTAAGGATGTCGGGGCACCAGTGCCCGCCAGGCCCCGGGGGATGGTACGCCCGCAGGCGACGTTGCTGGCCCACCCCACAGCTTCGGGAGCAAGGTTCCCACAGGGCCCAGGAGGTCCAGGAACAGTTTCCAGCCTCACAGCCAGGGCCAGGACACAGGGGCACTCCTGTGGACAAAGTGGATTCCCTCTCACCTGCCTGAGTCGAATGGGACCTGCCCAGCCTCCCCTTCCCTTCTGTGACCTCATCCAGATCTTCAGCCCCACTCTGCACCTGATACTGTTGTATGGCTTTGACACCTGGGCCTCAGTGTCCCCTTTTCTCATAAGGGACAGTAATTCCATATGCACAGGGCTGCCCATGGATTTGGGGAGGCCATGGGGGAGTGTTCAGCACATACTGAGGCCCAGGGGATTTTTCTGGAAGATGGAAGGGAGGTCTACCAGTTGGAAGAAGGCTCAAATGCAGGATCAGATGCTGACTTGAGATCAGATGTCAGCATTAGAAATCAGTAACTGCTTGGGGTATCAGGTGTTGAGGCTGGGGATTGGACATGGCTTTGGGTTAGAATGAGATGTTTGCATGTGGTAGGTAAGGTCTGAGGTGGAGGCTAGAAGGCACACCTGTGCATGAGGGCAGATTGCAGGGACGCTTCTGCAAGGAGCCCCCCACTGTGCAGTTGGCCAGGCAGAGGCGAGTGCGGCTGCGCCAAGCAGGATGAGCAGGGTCTGTGCAGCTCCCAGAGCAGGGGGACCATGGGGACCAGGGGCCCCAGCCACCTGTGAGAAGGGTACGAGAGGCACCTCCTGAGGAGTCAGCCCTGGGCTCCAGCCTTTTCAGGAAGCAGGGGTGGAGGGAGGAGGCCCTGGGCTTGCTCTTCCCAAAGGGAGGCCGGGGGAGATGTGCAGGGATTCTGGGGCTACCTGGAAGACCTGTCACTGGCTCCACCATGGACCCTTCAGTCCCTGCATCAAAGAAAGCCCTGCTCAGAAATGTTCTCAGCCCACAATGCCCCAGGACCATGCCCAGGCTCATGGCTGGCACAGTGGGCTCATTCTGTCTGATCCAACCTTCCCTCAGCTTGAGCTCCTGTGGACACTCCAGGCCCAAGCATAAAGCATCCTTGTAGGTCCAGACCTTTGCTCAAGCCAGTTCTGCTACCTGGCATTCCTTCTCTTTCCATCTTGACAATGTTTTCTCCATCCCTCAAAACCTCTCAGACTAGATATCTAGTCTAGTCCCCAGACTGTCCCTCTAGGACAGCGGTTCTCTACCTGTGGGTCGTGACCCCTTTTTAACAATGAAAATACACCGAGGCATTAGGAAGGTTGAGAACTACTGCTCTAGGAGAATTCCCTTCCTCCTCAATTTCCCACAGCACCTGCACCTTCCTACAGGGCTCACCAAAGGCTGAAATGGGTTACCTGAACCTCTGAATACCAAGGTCAGGGACCTCATCCCACCCCCACATACAAAGTATGGTGCATTTGGCAAAAGCTCCAGAAATGTTGGCTGAATGCACCTGAACAGAAGCCTAGAGGTAAGAAGAAAGAGCTAGAAGGTAAGAAGAAAGATCCAGAGACAGCAGCAAGGATGGACAGACAGGAAATGACAAAGTGTGGCTGAAACCAACTAGGCCAGTCAGACATCTACCCAGCACCTTCCTGCTGTCCTTACCAGGGCAGTCTGGGCTGGGGCAGTATTCGAGGTCTTGGCGGGGCCCTTGGCAGCCCTGGCCACCATAAGTGGACATGGGGAACGCACACTGGCGGTTGCGGGTGCGGGTACCCAGCCCACCACAGGAGCGAGAGCATGGGCCCCATGGGCCCCAAGGACCAAAACCACTACGGGCCTCGGAGCAGTCCTCCACAGAGCAGGACAGTGTCCCATGAGCACAGGAGCTGGGGAGAGAGTGTTGGGGTGAGGTGCTAGGCAGGAGGGACAGGGCAAAGGGTGTGGGCAAGGGTCTTAGCCTGAAGGGTAAGGAGGTGGAGCCAGGGATGGCTCAGGAAAGGGAGGGACAAAGGCCAATCACAGCTCCCTCCATGCATGCTGTCCTCTCCCTCAGTGAAAAGTTTTCCTCACCCTTCCCAGCCCAGCTGCCACTCTTGTCCCCTTTACCAATTGCTGCAGCCTATACGAAGTGTCTGGCCAGAGCCCAGCTCATCTTTAGGCCCAAGAGACTGACCACCCTCTCCTAGGAACAGGGGCCATGCTCCAGAGTTGCTGCCAGCAGCTCCCAGCTCCTGCAGCAGTGAGGCCATCAGCACACAGGGGCACTCCTGGATTGGGAAAGGAATCCCTGTGCACTTGTCGGGCTCAGCAGAGCAGAACTGGCACCTGCCTGTCGTCCAGACCCATAACATAGTGGGAGATGGCGGAAAGTGGGCCAGGTAGAGCAAAGGTGAGGGGTGCTTTCCCACAAGGGTGTGACAGGGAAAAGAAAGGCAGTGAAGATGCACATCCCCATGATGGAGGATAAGGGAGGTGAGGCTATGGGCTGGGGGAAGCCATTGGGGCCTGGCAGGAATATGCCCTCCATAGCCAGAAGAGTCAGAGGGGACACAGGGCAATACTTAGGGCAGTAACAGTCCTTGTGAGCTGACGTGAATCTGAGGACTTATGCTAGAGGAGGGCAGAGGCCCAGGCAATGCCTGTGGGCAGTCGGTGGTCCACATTCCCTGGGAGCCAGGGGCCCTGGGAGGCTGTGTCACCACCTATGTTCCCCAGGTGCTCTAACTCTGCCTGAAGAGGCCCCAGCAACCTCATGAGCCCAGGTGCTGCCTGGAATCACATGAGGGAGTGGTGTCAGTTGAGGCCACAGGGTCCACAGTTAACACTGTGATGGGTGAGGGGCAGGCAGGGCTTTGGGCTCCTGGCCTGCTGGGTTCTGACCTGGATACAGGCTAGGCGGTGCTGGAAGGTGCCCTCAGGGCAGTGGCAACCCTCCTCGCAGCCATCAGAGAAGCAGTCCACCTGCTGTGTGATGTGGGCGCAGGAGAAGGGGCAGCCCTCACCGGGCTGGCACTCACGGTACAAGCGGCCTGCCGGGCAGCCTGCCTCTAAGACAACACCCTTGTCAGTGCCTGGTTCCTGTCCAAGGCCCCCATCCCTAACTGCCAGGGGTGGGTAGGGAGAGCCCAGAAGGCACCTTTGAGCCAGGTTCAAGGTTGGGTGAGCATGAAAGTTTAGTGAGGGTGTTGAGGGCCCAGGCTTATTGAGTCTCACCTCTGCAGACCTGGGTATTGCACACACGGCTCTGGCGGGCAGACCCTGGGCAGGGAGGCTGGGCACAGCGCCTTGAACGCAACTGCTCCCCTCCCCCACATGAAAAGCTGCAGTCCTCCCAGGGGCCCCAGGAGTCCCACATCCCAGGGCCGGGACAGGTGGGCACCTCCTGGCATTGCAGGATGCCTGCCACACAGGTGCTGGGGACAAAGAAGTGGACTTCAGAGAGAGGGCCCAGCCTACTCCTCTGAGGCTGCAAATCTTACCCCTCTTGGCTTACCAGTTGTCACATGGCCCAGTTACTACTTCTCCTGGTTCCAGGCTCTCCCAGGAGCTGAGCCCAGACCCTACCAACCGGCTCTGGTTCTCAGGGATCCCTGAGGGACACAAGAGTGGGAGTAAAGACTCCGGATGGCTCAGCAGCCCCCATCAACCCCTCTGTTCCCCTGTCTGTCAGCCTTCATTCCATGGTGCCCTGTGTGTCCGGGCAAGGGAGGTGGAAGCTCCCACCTGGACCAGCCCTGGGGTGTGGGGTGACACTGGGGCACACAGAAAGAGATATAAACCCTTGAGGGCTGGAGAGGTAGCTACCCATTCCCAGCTGGCAGCTCAGGTTGGGCCCTATGAGCTGTCGTGCAGGGCCAGGCAGGGTGGGCTGGGGGCTGGGGCATGCGGGATGGGGGATGAGGAAGGGAGGCACTGACCCCTGGCTCCAGGCTGGTACTGGCAGCGGCAGCGGGCTGGGGGCACACAGAGCCCATCCTGGGAGAGCTGGCCGGGGGGACACCCACAGCTGGGCTGGCAGCTGTTTGGGCCTGGCTGGCACATACTTCCTAGGGACAGGTCCTGGCAGGAGCGGGGGCAGGGCTGCCCACAGGGGAGCAGGCTCTGTCCACCCCCGCAGTCTGTGAAGGAGAGAAGCAGAGAGGGTGGGTGCTGCAGGGGCCACCCTGAGGGATTCCTGGCACTCAGGTGCCTCAGCCCTCCCTGCCCAGACCTGTCACCTTGCCCAGTTCCATAGGTAGTGACCTGAACATTGTCTTTTGAAGAGAGTGTGACATGAATGTGTATAGGGTGGGTCAGAGGTCAGAGTTGGCATCTCCCAGACCTCGCCAAGGCTCTCACCTGCGCACCGTGTGGAATTGTCTTGACAAGGGCGACTCTGGGTGTGGCCCCCAGGGCAGGGCCTTCCTCCCTCAGGAGTGGGGGGCTGGCTGCATTCCCGGCTCCGATGTGACTGTCCCAGGCATGCATCACAGGGAGACCATGGTCCCCAGGGGCTCCAGGCTCCATCCACTGTGCCAGGAAGAGAGACTCATCTGCCTTAGGAAGCCCAGAGGCCTCAGGTTATTGGGGTTGGAGTGGAGGTTTGGGGCCTTCAGGGGTGCACAGGCCTCCTAGGGACACACACCTGGGCAGGTGCTGGGGCTGGGGCAGGCCTCCCTCTGATGCTGGGCCCCTGCCTCCCCAGTTTCCCCAGGGCACTGGGTGCCCCCATGCCGAGGAGCTGGGCAAGCACAGGCCCTGGATCGGGTCCTCGTCTGGCCCCTGCAGGGCTGAGAGCACACCGTCCACTCCAACCATGGGCACCAGCTGCCAGGCACTGTGAGGAGAATGGTAGGCACTGGGTACAGCCATCCCTCCCCTAGGGCCAGGCCCCCTGTGTGGTGGGGCCACCTCTCCTTTCTTCCCTCCAGGCCGGGTACATACCTGGGCAGGGCAGGTCTGTGCAATTCAGCCTCCCCCCCTGGCAAGTGCTGGTGGGAGAAGCAAATGGGGAGGGAGGAAGAGGCAGCAGCTGGATCTGGCCCTGCCCCATCCCTCCACCTTCCTGGCCATCTCTGCCTTCCTTTCACCCCAACACTCCCTAGTTCCTCAAGGTTTAGGGTCTATGCCCCTCACTCCCTACACTCTTGCCCCTCTAGAGCCGGCTTCCTGTCCCACTGAGGTGGTATTCTCAGATGTCACCGGCTGGCGTGTTCTACTGAAGAGGGACTGCAGGTACTGTGCATGGCCAGACAGCAGGTGCCAATGTCACACCTGTTGCCCCCAGCCCCCACCCCCAGCAGACGTCTGAGTTGACTGACTTGTCTCCCCACCTATCAGATGGGTCGTGGTGCCTGCCCTACATCCTCTTGGGGACTGTTGGGGGGCCAGTGTGATCGTCAGCTGGTACCCCTGCCTCCTGCCATGCATAGTTCCCCCTTACCAGTGGTTACAGCCATCAGGCCGGGCCAGCTGGGCACCTGGATGGTGTCTCTGCCCAGTCAGCAGGTCCAGGCAGCTGCAGTGATCCGGATGCACACAGATGGCCCCGTCAGCACTCAGCACCTGGCCTGGAGGGCAATAGCAGCCGGGCTGGCAGCTCCACATGCAGTGCTGTGGGGACAGCAAGAGAGGGCTCCAGTCAACAGGAATAGGGTCTTGTGGGTAGGGGAAGGTGTCTGGGAGATCACAGACCACTCTGAAGGGAAGGTGACCAAAAGAGGAGCCTGGAGTGGGAGGAACAGAGGTCCAGAGGGAGAGAAAAGAGACACTTCAGTCCAAAGGTTCTATGTTTTATGAAGCACATGCCTTGGGGTTTTAAGGAGGGCAGGAAGGGATGACCCAGCCTCCGATTTCCCTTTTAAATTTCTGAGGAGCATCTCCCCCAGCTCCCTTGGGGTGTGAATCTGGAACCGGGTGTTCCCTAAATTTAAAGCCCCAACTCTCAGGGTCAGGAGTTCATTGTGGATGACCCCAGACCAATGACCTACAAACCGAGGCATGTCCCAGACCTCCCTGGAGCTCAGGGGACCCTAAGAGCTGGCTGAGCTAGGGAGGCAGTTTGGGAAGGAGCTGGGGGCCCTTGAGGTGGCTGGGATCCAGGCCACTCCTCCTCTTCCTCTTCCTTCTGGACCTGGAGGCCTTTCTGGGACCTCCCATTGGCAGCTCCCACCCAAGACCTCAAAGCACCCCTGTATTTCTCATAGCTGTGATCACTGGTCTGTTCTTTGATAAGGGTCTGTCTCCCTCACCCCAGGACAAGTCTGTGGGGACCACCCCTGTCTGTCTGTATTTGTCTGTCTATATTTGCCCCATCTCTCTGGGCCTAGGGGCTCAGCCTGTTGTGTGCTGACTGTGAACTATAGCCCAGGACCCCTAGGCGACCCCTTCAGTGCCAGGCAAAAAAGACCTGACTCCAAAACCACGCCCTACATCCTGCCCTCCCACAAAGTGACTCTCAGGTCAGAGGTCAGGTGGGACTCACCACTAGGTCATCACAGGAGCGAGGACAGGGAGGGCCACAGGGGCTGTACTCAGCTCCTTCGACAGCAGTGCAGTTGGTCACTGGGGGAACATGGTGGGCTGAGAGCTGTGTGGATGCCCACCCAGGCTGGCTCCCTGCACTGTTCCCTCCAGCTTCTCCTCCTCTGCTCCTGGCTCCCACCCCCATCCATGGCAGTACCTGGACACGGCAAAGCCTGACAGGCTTCCCCCTGGGCCCGCGGCCCCTCACAGTAATCCCCCAACCCCTGGGGTGGGGGCTGGTCACAGACTCTGGTCCGGCTTCTCAGGCCTCCTCCACAGCTCCGACTGCAGGGAGACCAGAGTCCCCATGGCCCCCAGCCCCCAGCTCCTGCAGGGACAGCAGAGGAAGGAGTGAGGAGGGGCTGGTTGGCCTGCAACACTGGTGTAACATGGTGGCATGCACAGGTTATGGTTGGACAGTGGGTGCCACCTGGGGCTCCAGGGGAGGGACCACTGGCAGGCACTCACGGTCACACCCTGGCAGGAGGCACAGCTCCTCCTCAGCCTCAGGACCTGGGCAGAGAGACCCTGGTGTAGCTGTGGGGGGCAGCAGAGTGATCCTGAATGGCGCTGTGCTGGGGGCCCTGGCACAGAAGCGGTGCCGATGGCGTCGGGCAGGGCTGCAGGAGGCAGAGCACTCACTCCAGGGGGTCCAGGGTGACCACATGGGCTGACCTGTGAGGGATGCACAGGGAGAGGGTGCAAGGAACAGGCCACACTGGAGAGGAGGATCACACCCCCTGCCTGCCTATGGCCATCCTCCCCCAGCCTGAGGCCTTGCCGCTATGAGGAGTTCAGTGCAAGTCAGAAGTGGGGACCCTCTTACCCTCCTCACATGGCCAGGAGCTGCAGTTGGTGATGAGCCCAGAGATGCAGGAGCTGAGGGGGCAGTGGGGTTAGGGGGTCTTGGGGGCTGCACTGTGCTCCCCCCAGATCCTTATGTTCAATCCCTGGCCCAGCACCTGTGCGTATTTGGATATTGGCTCTTTTTTTTTTTTTTTTTTTTTTTGAGACAGAGCCTCAAGCTGTCCCCCTGGGCAGAGTGCCGTGGCATTACAGCTCACAGCAACCTCCAACTCCTGGGCTCAAGCGAGTCTCCTGCCTCCGCCTCCCAAGTAGCTGGGACCACAGGCGCCCGCCACAACGCCCGGCTATTTTTTGGTTGCAGCCGTCATTGTTGTTTTGGCGGGTCCGGGCTGGGGATTCGAACCCGCCACCTTAGGTGTACGTGGCTGGCGCCTTAGCCGGTTGAGCTATAGGCGCCGAGCCAATATTGGCTCTTTATAGAAGGAGTTAAAGCAAGCTACTAGGGTGGGCCCTGATCCAGGGGAACCCATGTCCTTGGAAGAGGAAATGTGTACAGCATTCTACACAGAGGGAAGATGACGAGGAGAGACAGGAGATGATGACCTAGTACTAACCAAGGAGAGCCGAAGACTGTGGGCAAACTATCAGAAGAGAGAGGCCTGGGTGGATTCTCCCTCACTGCCTGCCAGGAGCCAGCCCTGCCTCTGGGACTCTCAGGCCTGTTCAAGCCCCCCACCCCACCAAGCCAATGTTTTGTTGCAGCAGCCCAAGGAAAGAGTGAGAAGCCACAGTGGGTTCACAGGTAGGGCTGGGAGAGGGGCAGGCAGGTGCAGCCTCTGGGGTGGAGAAGTCTCTGGGGTCCTCAGAGATCTCAGGGCCAGATCGGGGTGGGGCTATGTCTCACCAGTTCTCACATGGCCTTAGCACAACACTGCCTGGGTCATGGAGGCGCCCGCCATGGGCGCAGGGGCAGTCCTGGGTGGGCACGCACATGTTGTTCTGGAATCAAAATTCTTTTATCATTTTCTGGCTCCCAAGTTGGCCTGGCCTGCCCCCTCCCTAGTCAGAGCCAGCACCTAATTCCTCAACTAGGGCTCCCATCAAATGCCACCCACCCTCCTACTACAAAGACACTGCCTCCCCCTCCCACCTGGCAGGCAAACACAGACCACTAGCCTTGGGGCTGTGGGGATGTGGACCCTCCAATTTCTGGGAGAAAAAGACCATCTTTAATTGAAAGACATGAGACTAAACTGTCAAAGGCCCGTGAAATCTACTATGAACATGTGAAATGTGCAATTTCGTGTGTATAGCAACAGAAAAAGCCCACATTTCTTTTTTTCTTTCTTTTTCTTTTTCTTTTTTTTTTTTTTTGGAGACAGAGTTTCACTATTTCACCCTCCATAGTGTGCTGTGGCGTCACAGCTCACAACAACCTCTAACTTTTGGGCTTAAGTGATTCTCTTGCCTGAGCCTCCCAAGTAGCTGGGACTACTGGCGCTCGCCGCAATGCCTGGCTACTTTTTTTGTTGCAGTTGTCATTGTTGTTTAGTAGGCCCCAGGCTGGGTTCGAACCTGCCATCCCAGGTATATATGACCAGCAACCTTAACCACTGAGCTACAGGTGCCAAGCCAAAGCCCACATTTTCATCAACAAAATAACAACAGAGGAAGATGATGTGTCCTGTAAGTTTGAATGGAAGTTATTCCAATTTGGAAGAAACCACTGTCCAGTAGCACGTGATTCAAAGTTAAAGACACCGAGGTTTGTGGGCAGTCCCTGGGGAGCCTGATTTCCTGTGACTGGGCATAATCTTATCCCAATTATTTTACCATAAAATAGAAACTGAGGCAGGAGAACACTAGTCAAAGCTCATGGAGCTACTATTAGGAAGAGCCTGAGTTGGACCCAGATCTGACTAGAACCTATCCCTATCCCTAACCATGCCCCATGGCTACACAGTGGCGCTGTGATCCTTGGTTCAGACTCTGCCATGCAGCTAGCATGTCCCAGTCTCCCTGCTCTCCACACCCTCCAGTCTCTGATGGTCAAGTCAGGACCACATTTGCCTGACCACATGTGCAGAGTTCACTTCCTGCCTCCGTCTTTGTCTAGGGCTCTAGACAAAGAGTCTAGTTCCCAGACTGGGCGCTTCTTGAGGGGAGGTTGCTTTTCCCCATGATGTAGCCCAGCCCCAAACTGAACATACATAGGTGGTCAGTAAATAACTGGTGATAACACAGAGGACAAAGTCTTTGAGCAGGGATGACTCATAGGACCTTCTAGACCAGTGGTTCTCAACCTTCCTAATGCCAACATGTATTTTCATTGTTACAAAGGGGTCACGACCCACAGGTTGAGAACAACTGTTAGACCAGTAACCACTTCAGAAACAAGAAAGCAGAGGTCCAGGGAGAGATAGATGAGGTTGCCCAGGGTCACTTGCTCTTCCTGCTGGAGCTGAGCCATGACCCCTGAATGCAGTGCCCTTTCCTTAAGTCTGCAGGGTCCCATACCCTTGGCTCTGCCTCTGCTCATATCCTGCTTATCCCTTCCCTACCACCCCAGGTCCCCAGGTCCCAAGGAGGTCCCAGCTATGGCCAGACAGGGGGACACACCAGCAGGAGCATCCCAGGTGGGCAGTAGCAGCCAGGGTGGCAGGTCTGGTTAGTCCCTCTTGGGGCACTCAGCTCTGCACAGGAGGCAGGGCCCTGGGCACAGTCCAGCCACTGCTTGCCCTTGGGACACGTGCCAGGCACTGGCCCTAGAAACACAGAAATTGACAGCCCACTCAGTTTTCCTCGGAGCTCCCAACTTGGGAGAGGCATCAGCTCTGGGCCTGGCAGGGGTTATTGTCAGGGCTGAAGGAGGGCTGAGGGACAGGGCTGTGCTGGGGTGGCAGGGAGGTGGTGGTAGTACTCTGGGTTCATGGAGATGAGAATGAGCAGCCCTCACCTGCACAGGGCTGCAGGCCACAGGTGGAGAACTCCATAGGGCTGTATAGGCCACTGCCTCGGGTGCGGTTCCTGTAGCCACCACCGCAGGGCACAGAACATGGAGACCAAGGGCCCCACTCCCCACCAGGACCTGGCGGGTGGCACCTGGTCACTGTAGGGCCTGCCTTCCACACTCAGCATACCTGCTCTTCCTCCCACCCGGGCACCCTACGGCATCTCCTCCATCCACTTCACCTGCAGTGTCATGTCCCACCTTAGGAGACTTCACACTTGGGAGGCTGTGGGGTTTAGCCCAGAGCTGGGCTGGCCTCTGGGGAGGAGCTGGGGCTACTCTAGGGAGGGTGTCCATTAGGGAATGAACTCTCAGGGGGTCTCTGGGAGCCAAACTGAGCATACAAGTTTCTTGTACTTCTCAGGGGGTCCTGCTGTGTGTGGGGTGATGAGTTATTTTGACTTCTTTCTAGAAGGTTCTTCAAGGAGGACCTCATCTCAGCTCTCACCTCGACATGGCTGTAAACTGCAAAATTCAGCCTCCATTTTGGGGCCCTGACACTCAGCACCCCCAAAGGCAGCTGGGGGTGCAGTGCCTGCCCGGAAGCGCCGCCGAATGCCCACATTGCAGCTGCGGCTGCAGAGACTCCATGGGGTCCAGGGACTCCAGCCACAAGCCACTGCCAAGGTATGGAGTGGGGGAGGGCAATACGGGTGAACATGGCCAATGCATCCTGCAACCTTACTTCCCTGAACACCAGCACTCCCAGAAGTTTATCTCTGGAGGGGCCCAAATCCCCAGTGGTCCCTGAGGACCCACCACTGGCTGGCTGGGACCCCAAACATGGAGGTACCTGGGCAGAGCTCCAAGGTGCACAACATCTCACCAGAGGTACAGGTGCTGCAGAGAGAGGGGCCAGTGAGGCCCGGCCCCCATGGCCACAGTCAGCCCCTGCCCTTGAGCACTGTGGGTCTGCCCCAGGGGAAGCCACGGGACCACCATGCCCACCAAGTAAAAGAGAAAGCCAGCTGCCTTTGGGGGTGCTGAGCACCAGGGCCCCAACTTGGAGGCTGAATTCTGTAGCCTGAAACCATGTGGAGTTGCCCATGTCCCATGCAAAGTTCATGATGGGACCAGGACCCTCACCCAGGGACCCCACACCACCATCAGCCAAGATGCCCCAGGCACTGTGATTTCCTTTTGTTCCCTGGCTTCATCAGCTGTCACCTTTTTATGCTTTTTATTCCATTTGTACTTACTAAACACTGTTTAGAAATGACCTAGAGTGACAGGGCCAGATAGGAGGGAATTAGAAAGAGCTAGAGTTTTCCTAGGAGGAAAAACTGGGTACTTTATTTTTATTTTTCAATACATGTTTTAAAACTTATTTGTTAAATACTGGAGGCTCCACAAAAAGAATGTAAGAAATAAAAAGCAAGAGAGAAAAGAGGGTGAGAGGGAGAAAAATGAAGAAGAAGGGAACTAAGGGAGGGGATAAGGGATAGAAAAGAAAAAGGAAGAAGAAAATGAAATTTAAAAAGAAAAAGAAAAGAGAGAGTGGGTTAACCGCCCTCTGCTGGCAGATGATGGTATCAGCTTTGAGTATTGGGCACTTCAGGATTTCTGAGCAGAAATCAGGTGGATCTCAGGAAAGGTGTTATTTATATTCAGGGAAGAGGAACACAGGAAATTGGGAGGAGGGACGAGAAGCCCCTTTCCAGTCTGTAGTCCCATCAAAAATCACTGCATCAATCTGAGGCCCAATCTTCCCATAAGTCAAATGGGTATGACCACCATCCCTCGTGGACACTGCACAGTCTGGGCAGGACCTCAGTGGCTTTAGTATTCCCAGGACCTGTGCCTGGCACCAGTGGATGCTCTGGGTTGGGGAATGGAGGCAGGACACCCCCACCCTGCCAGGTTGTGTGTGTGACAGTAAGCCCGTGCCTGTCCACCTCAGGAGCCACCAGCCCCTCCCTGCCCCCAGCCCCAGGCTATGTCCTACCAGTTGTTGCAGGCATCCACGCGACCCACTTCTCCTGGTGCATAGATCTGCCCATTCAGCTGGCAGGGGCACTGGCTGCGGGGCAGGCAGCTGGCATTGTACAGGAAGAGGCCAGGGGGGCAGGTGCAGCTGGGGGTGCAGGAGCCTATGCACTCCACCCCAGGGCCCTGTGCCAGGCACAGCCGCAGGCATGGACCCCCCTCCTGGTGACACTGCTCTGCTGACCGGAACACCATGTTCCCTGGGCACTGGGCTGGAGGAGAAGACAGACACAGCAGGTCTCAACAGGGGCAGGAGGGGAGGGAAGGGAAAGGAGACTGAAGGGTGGAAGGGAACACACATGCAGGTGACTGGGAGGCAGCCTGTTAGGTAGGACCAAGCCTGAGGAAGCCCCCCTCTTGCCTGCCTTCCCTCCCACGCTTGTTCCAGTGTTTGGAATGTCACCAGTAAGGGATCATGACTTTGTTCCACTTTAATGTAAATATCCTTGAGAACAGAACCAGTCACCTGGGACAAGGGAGGGCTAAATGATAAGGGTCTGCTACCCCCTGTTCTGGCCATGAGTAGGTTCTGTCCAAGGGAAGCCCAGCTTAATGCCCTTGGAGGAGCCTATTCTCCCAGGAAGAAAGCTTGCCCCCCACAAAGATGAAGAGCTAGGAACCCAAGCCTGGTTCCCAGAGGGTGGGAGAGTGCAAGGCCAGAGAAGACACAAGGGATCCTCTAGTCTCCCTCAGCTCAAGGCATCACCTGTCCTGGAGTCAGAGGGCAGTGACATGTGAGGGTGAGTCTGGAGAAAAGGCTAAAATCCCCAAGAGGAGCTGGAGAATGAGGTGGGAACCTGGTACCTGTGCAAGGCTGTGCATTGCAGTCTCTGGTCTGACTGTGGGGGCCCTGGCAGGTGGAATTCCCGGGAGCTGGGCCAGAGCAAATGCGTCCACGGGTCTGGATGCCCCCATCACAGGGAGCAGAGCAGGTAGACCAGGCAGTCCACAGGCCCCAGATGCTGGGCTCTGTCAGGAAGAGCAGAGCCAATGGTTACAGACACAGGTGAAGGCCCAGGAGGGGATATAGGAGGGATGGAGCTGAGTGGCTGCAGGGTCTTCTTAACTACAGCTTTCAGCCCCCACCAAAGTCCACCCTTCTAGGGCGTCCCAAGCACTGCATCAGGCAGTCCACTCTGTTAGCTGTATGCTGGCGTTCTGGGGGCAGGGGTGGCTGGAGGGAGAACAGGCTTAAGGATAACAGCCAGGTGTGCTCCTACCCTGGCCCCCAGATAAGCAGAAGGGGTCATCCTTCTTTACCCTCATCACATCCCTGTGACTGGAACATACCTGGGCATACAGGGGGGCTGCAGGGCTCCTCTTGGGTGGCCTCTCCTGGGCAGGATGTGTCCCTGGGGCTGGGGCAGAGCCTGGAGCGACTGCGCCAGCCTGGGTCCCCACTAGGGGCAAGGCAGCTCTGGGAGCAGGAGGACCAAGATGTCCAGGGAGTCCAGCCCAGCGCTTCTGGGAGGGGGAGAACAGGACAAGCCAGTTGCACAGGGAGCCTTCCATCCCCCCTCAAAGCCCCACCCACCAGGGCCAGTTTCAGGGCTTCCTCTCAGACACAGAGTTGGGAACAGGAAGGAAGCTCCTGGCTGTACCTGTCCCACACTCCCTGTGGCAGGCCTGCAGTTCTTGCCTGTTGCCTTCACACGGGGCACCCCCGGAAGCTGCTGGAGGGTTGGAGGGAGACCTGGGGAGACAGCAGCCCTGGGCACCTGCTCTTCTTCCCCTGCCCTTCATTCTGCCCCCTTTGTCCTCTGTCCTCCCTCCACTCCTTTCCCTCTGGGGCTGGCCTGGCCCTGAGCCTCTCCCTCTCCACCGTGCTCGCTCCCACTTCCTTCTGCCTCACACACCTGAACCTGGCTCTCACTCCAGAGCCACAGGAGCGGTCACAGGGAGCCCAAGAGGACCAGGCTGACCAGCCACAGGGCAGGGGGCAGCCTCCTGGCTGGCACAGCAGCACCCCCTTCTCACACATGCTACAGGGAAGGAAGCAGTGAGCAGTCCATCGGGACTGGGGTCCCCAGGCACAGTGCCCTCCCCTGGTACTGCCACCCCTCACCATCTGCTGCAGTTGTCCAGGAGGAAGGACACTCCTGGCTGCTTCAGCTCTTTACCCACAAGGCAGGGGCACTCAGAGAGTGGCAGGCAGCGAGTATCATGGAGGAGGAGCCCCGGGGGACAGCGGCACCCTGGGGGAGGAGAGAGGGCACTCTGGGCACTCCGTTCCAAGGTGGTCGGGCAGCAGGGAGTGTGGCTGGAGGGTGGGAGCTAGTGGCCTAGGGCAGGGCCTATGCTCTGTTGCTTGCATCTCTGCTTACCCTCCATGCAGTGCCCACTGCAGCTTCTGTTGGCCTCAGGATCCAAGCAGGAGGGTGGGCATGGGGGCACCAGCCCCTTCTGACATAGATCAGCACTCACAAGCACAAGGCCCAGCCCACAGTCTGGGGATGATGGATACCAAGTGGGCATGGCACCAGGAGGCCAAGGCCTGCTCCAACAGCCCCGTGCCCACAGGCTCCCTCCTGGGGTACCCTATTTCCCCCACCTGTACCACCTGTGCAGGGCTGCAAGCCACAAGGTGCCCTCTCTTGGGAGTTCCCAGGGCAAGGGGCACCACCGTTCTTGGGTGGAGGGTCCACACATCTCCTCTGGCGACTCTGATGGCCACCTCCACAGGAGACACTGCAGGGTCCCCAGGCCTCCCACATGGCCCATGCCCCAGCCACTGTGGGGGAGGGAAGAACACAGTCAACCAGGAAGAGCCAGAAGACACAGACTGTGTTACAGAGAGCAAGGCCGTGGGGGGAGTGTGCTAGGCAGGGGGCTATAGGAAACCAATGGGCCTGGGAGAGGAGCTGGGACTTCAGGAAGCCTGCAGCAGGTCCCCCCAGGGGCAGCAGAAGTAAGACCACCAAAACCAGGGTGGGAGTCAGAAGTGGGGCTGAGGAAACCCTTGGTGAGGGGAGCCCCTCTCTCGAATACACAGAGGTGGGCAGATGGTGGGCTACTCCCTCAGATTCACAGAACAAAAGGGCAACAAAGCCTTTGGTGTGGAGCCCAGGGCAGTGGCACAGCCAGGTGGGCTCCAAACCCCCTCGTACACCTCTCCCTTCATCCTCCTGGTGCCTCCTTAGGCAGGAGTCACTGTTATTTTATTTCAATTCTGGGTAAAGGGACAGAGACAGGAGAGGAGGGGTAGACCAGGGAGGGGGTGGGAGGGTAGCTCTAGTTCCCCTTGAGTGCAGTGGCTTTCCTGAGGAGACTGGGCTGCAGGGTTACCTGGACAGGCCTGCATGAAGCAGGACTGGGTGCGCAGCCGGTTATGTGGGCAGCTGCCCCCCAACAGGGGAGGTCGCAGAAGCACTCGGTGTTGGAAGGTTAAGCCCAGGCCACAGCTATGGCTACAGCTGCTCCAGCTGGACCAGGCTGCTAGCACACAATCCACTGCAAGGGGATAGGTGGGCCAGGGCTCAGTGGGGCTCACACAAGAGCAGGCATCCTCAGCGCTGCCCCAACCCCCAGCACATACCACAGCCATCCTCATCTGAGCCATCTTGGCAGTCCGGATGCAGGTCACAGCGCCGCTTAGAGGGCAGGCACTCCCCACTGCCGCAGCTCAGCTGGCTCGGAGAGCAGAGAGCCCTCGAGGCTGGCAGCCCAGGCAGGGCTGTTGTGGGTATGGTGAAAGGCACCGGACTCTCTGCCCATGAGGCAGGAGGAAGAGCCACATAAATGATTCCAGGCTGGACAATACTCTGAGCCCCTTTAACCACAGGCCAACAGCACACACAGCTTGCTGACTGGAGGCCCTGGCTTCCCCTTCCTCCCTGGGCTTCCTGTAACCTGTGCCCAGGGCAGGCTTCCTTCCACTACATGGGGATGACAGCACAAAGGCTCTCACATAGTCTCTCTATTTCTTTTTTTTTTTTTTTTTTTTTTTTTAGTCTCTCTATTTCTTAAAGCCTCTTGGAGTGTCCAGGGAAAGGTCAAGGCATCTAGAAGGGCAGTCATTCCCTTGGATACCCTGTTCCTAAAAGCATATTCCCTGGGGGTACTCCTTCCTGCAACTGGTTAACACTTGCCTTCTCTTGGTTGGAAGACTGGGCTTGATCATTGTGATCTACTTTTGATGGATGGATAGATGGATGGGCTTGTGGATGGATGGATGGATGGGTGGGTGGATAGATAGATGGATGGGTGAGTGGATGGATAGATGGGTGGATAGGTGGGTGAATGGATGGATGAATAGGTGGATGAATGGCTAGATGGGTGGACAGATAATGGGTGAGTGGATGAGTGGAGAGATGGGTAGGTGGATGAATGGATAGATGGGTGAGGGGGTGGATGAATGGGTGGATGTGTGGATGGATGGATGGGTGGATAGATAGATGGGTGGGTGAGTGGATGGACAGATGGGTGGGGAGGTAAACAGATGAATGGATGGATGGGTGGGTGGAAGGCTGGAAGTATGGGTAGATGAGTCTCCTCAAGGATCAGGCAGGTCTCATAAAACAGCTGAGACCCCAAACCAATCCTATTCCCCCTCTTCACCATCCCCAAAGACACACACATTCCTGGTGTTTTTAACCATTCACTTTCTCTCCAATCTCTGCTGCCTAAGCCTCTCTCAGGTCCTTCTCATATAACCTTGAAATGGGAGCCAGGACTTCTCCACATGTCTGACCACCCTACCACTGCCATAGGACAAGCAGACTCTCCGGAGCTCACCACAGGGCCTCTCATCAGAGCCATCGAGGCAGTCCTCCCTGCCATCGCACAGCTGCACCTGCTCCACGCAGCCCAGGACCTCGCAGGGCACCTCTCCGGGGCTGCACTGCACCAGTGGGAAGGGCCTCGGGGTGATACTCTGGCCTGTGGGCACCACCATGCCAACTGGCCAGTCACCTGGTCGGCCTTGTCCTCCTTCCCTAGTCACCTCCCAGTAGTACCCTGTGGTGCCTGGTGTGCCCCACTTTCTGCCTCTCTTGGGATAATGGAAAATAAGTGAACTGGGTCAGGAGGTTTGGGTCCTAGCCTCCTTCACCTTGACCTGTGTGACTTTAAACAAAGCAGTCAGCCTCCCAAGGCCCCGTCCCCCTTGCAAGGAAGTTGTTGGGCTCACGAAGACTTTGCATAGACAGAAGGGTTTGGAGTCTCACCAGCACTGGTCGCCAGAGTTGCTGGAGGTGGAAGGAACACTGACACAGCTGCCATTCCTGGTTGTGGGGTCCTAGCCTCTGTCTGGGATGTGGGGGCGGTGGGCACTGTCTTCATGGATTTCCCAGAACTCAGATAAAGAGTGCTGGAGGCTGGGACAGGACTCACGGGCCTTCTCTCTGTGGGTGGAAATGGAGGGAGGTGAGGCCTGCCCTTCCCTTGAGAGGCTTCTGGGGTGCAGCATAATCGCAGGTACCACAGATTACCTATCCCCTATCTTCTGAAATCAGAAAAGAAGTGGGACTCATAGTCTAAGGAGAACAAAAGTTTTAACTAAAAATAGAACATGTTTTAGTTTTGATCTGAGATTTGTGCTCTATTCTCAAGAACACACATTTGGCAACTTCCAAGTTCCAATTCACTATAAAATAAGATATTTAGGGAGAGGCAGAGCTGAGGTCATTTAGACACAACTAGCAGAGGAAGCAAACTCTACCAGAGACTCAAGATGAGCCCATTGCTACTGCTGTACAAAAAACTGGTTTTGAGCTTCTTGACAGCTATAGTGAAAAGGGTGTTAAGAGTCTCCTTTTCTGGCAAGAGATTCATCTTCAAAAACAGCCATTTTTTTTTCTGGCAGCACCTGTAGCTCAGAGGGTAGGGTGTCGGCCACATATACCGAGGCTGGTGAGTTCGAATCCAGCCCAGGCCAGCTAAAACAACAATGACAACTGCAATGGAAAAAAAAAAATAACCGGGCGTTGTGGCAGGCACCTATAGTCCCAGCTACTTAGGAGGCTGAGGCAAGAGAAATTGCTTAAGCCCAAGAGTTTGAGGTTGCTATGAGATGTGATGTCAGGGCAACAGCTTGAGACTGTCTCAAAAAAAAAAAGAAAGAAAGAAAGAGAAAAAAACCCCAGCCATTTTTGTAGAGCCAGACTTAGAATGAGATTAGACTTCATCCCATGGTGCTACATGTGATGAACTGAGCATAGTATAAGTTGCTTCATTTGCCCAGAAATACAGTCTGGCCAGGCTTCTGAAGAACTTCCACTAGAACTCATAGGGAGGCACCATAGAGGTTGTCTGTAAGATCTCCTTTTCTCACAGATGGTGAAACTGTGAGGCCCATGTGGATGGTGTGGTGTGCGTCTCCCATGGGAGGACAGAGCCAGAAAAACCTGCTGCCCTGGTGGCCCATGCCTCCCCCTCTGTCCTCTATGGCTGCTCCTCTGTGAAGACAGTTCTCCTTTGGCTAAAGGGAAGACGAATGATCAGGTTGCCACTGGGGGCAGATCACAACTGGGCTGGGAGCCCCTCCCCTTGTCTTGTTTTGAACATGCTAATTTAGTGACCCTATCCACCACCGGGTCTGCCCCAGGAAAGCAAGGGGGGCCTGCTGCATGGATGGTGAACAGAGGGAACGCAGGCTGGAGCCAGGCGGTCTCCTATCTCCACAGGAAAATGGCCACACTGTAGGGCACAGGCTCAGGCCTTGGAGCTGGCCTGGAGCCATCTACCCCACTGACTTGCAGCCCTTGTACCCTGGAATCCCAGGGAGTGGGCCATGTCCAGGGTGACCAGGGTCGCCTCCCTGAGCCAACTCTGTAGCTCTCTCACTGGCGAGAGTCAGGGCCCGGGGAATTAGAAGTTCTGAGATGTAACTGTCCCTTGCTCTGGAAGGGCAAGCTGGGACCAGGTTGGGGGAGAGGCCTACAGCTTGTGCACATACCTGTGGGGGGTGCGGGTGACTCCTGCACAGGATACCCACGCTCAATCTCCATCAGACCCTGCAAAGGAAGAGCACTCAGCACCCCATGCAGCCCAGGTCCCGAGGGCAGGTAGCTTCTATCCACGTACCAGCCTCCTATTCCAATGAGGGTGCAGCTGGGGTGCCCACAGTCCCACCACCCCCGACTCCATTTTCTCTCTGCCTCTCCCACTGAGGATAGTGCTGACTCCTCTGCAAGTCAGGTGGGCTGCCACCTCTGGACTGGGCACTCACAGGCACCCCACCCCCCACCCCCACCCAGAAGCTCAGGGATTCTGCTCTCACTGGCCCATGAGGGGACTCACTTCAGCTCTTGCCCACCAAATCCCCCTGCCTCTGCCCCAACAGGAGCATGCACATGTACATGCACACACATACACACACACTCTCCCTGGGCTCCTGGCCAGGCGGTTCCCCAGTGGGAAGGTGCCCTGCCCTCTTCTCCATGTTACAGACACCCAAGCCCCATCCTTTCAGCCTCATCCAGAGAGCCCCTGGGGACCTAGACACAGTGCTCTTCCTGCTGTGAGCATGGACGCTCTGATGCCTGCCCTGTGGGGATCATCTCCCTATCAGGGGCGCAGGCTTCCCTCATCCCAAGCTCCTGTAGGTCCTCTGCCCTGTGCTCCTCCACATCTCTAGCTGCTCCCAGAGACTTCAGGCTGAGGGCCTGACTGAGGGCAGCACCAGGAAACAAATGTAGGGGAGACATAGGTGCTGAAATGGGGAGCTCCCTGTCCCCTTACCCTACCCTCTGGGTCTGTAGCTGCCCACTCACCTCCCTGGGCTGGGTGAAGGAGAGAGCTGGGGTCCAGGTTGTGGAATGAACTCTGAAAAGAAAAATAGCCAAAGGGGTTCCAGGAGCTTTCCCACCTTGAGAGTCCACGTCCAGTCAGGGGTGAGTGTGCCCTAGGCAGGGCCTGGGGACTCTCGCTGCAGGGGAGCCCTTGGGAAGGATGCTGTCCACTGAGGCTGCCAAGGCTATGATCCACCCTGTAGTCTGGGGTGGGGCCTGAGAATCTGCATGTCTAATAGGGTCCAGGTGATACTGATGCTGCTGGTCTAGAGGCCACATTTTGAGAACCCCTAAATTCCAGATGCTATGGAAAAGGCATAGTATCGTAGGATCCATGGTGGAAAAGCAGCAGCCCCTCAGCACACAGGGTCCGTGGGCACTTGGGGGCTGAAGAAGGCACAGGGCCCCCCTCCCACATGGCTGCCTCTCTAAGAGCTGGGTAGCAGGCCCCACCGCACCTGCTGGTACCCGCAGGCAGGAGCACACAGGCCTCCTCATCTGAGCCATCCCTGCAGTCCACAGCACCGTCGCATGGGCCACCACTCAGGGCACACTCACCACTGGCACAGCGGTGCCCAGTCCCAGGGCATGGAGGCACAAGTGGGGGCACTGCAGGGGGGCAAGTGGCTGAGGACTCCTGCCACATCATGCCCCCTTGCCCCACCTGTTCCCAGTGCACCCCATACCTGGTTCACAGCCCAGCAACTCCACCCGCAGGAAGACGCTTCGGCCGTCCTCGCCGTGGTAGACATCACCAGGCCACACCCTAACGTACCTTGCCTGCACCATTTGGCTGAATGTCCATACCTCCGGGACTGGGTCACCCCAGGTGTCAGAGAAAAGCTGCTGGCAGAGGGTGCTGCTTGACCAAGTCCTATCCCCTGCTCTAGCTCCCCCCACATGACCTCCTGAACAGGGCTCATTGTCACCCAACCTTCTCAGCATGGATTCTGCCCCTCCCAGAGCCTAGGCTTCCACAGTAGCCATCTGGGTCTTTCAAAGCTGTGTGTGGGGGTCTTGTCCTGGCCTAAGCTTCTCCTTGTGGGCCTACGTTGTCCTAAGGGCAGGGGCCAGGCAGTGTTCACTGCTGTGTCCACAGGGCCAGGCCCAGCGCCTAGCACACAGTGGGTCTCCTTACAGTTAGGAATGAACACATGGTGGGGCTGACTCCTGTTGCTTCATAGGGCTTGTCTCCCACGGGTGATGCAAACCCCACGAGGGTGGGGCTGGGTCCAAGCTGCTTTCCTTGTGGCCCTGTCTGGGCTCCCTGAGGCCCTCACTGAACTTGCTATCCCCGCATCCCCTCTCCCTGTGGGCTGTTGTAAGGCTTCACATGCCTGCCCTGAGTCTGAGAACTTGGCTGTTTCCTGACATCCGCTTGACGGTGGCATAGTCCTTGCTACTTACCAGGTGTTCAATAAGCATCTAATGTAGGCAGTGTCCTTCAGGGAGAATAAAAGGGCTTGGGGACAAAGACTCTGGGACTTACAAAGGGACAAGGTCAGTCCCTGGCCCAGGGGCCTTGGGAGAGCAGTACCTTGGGCAGGGACAAGATGCCAGGCAGGATGTCATGGTAGTCATGCCAGTGTAGACCATCACTACTGAGCTGGAGCGAGAAGCTGGTGACATAAGTGTTGAAGGAACCAGTCCCCTGCACTATGATGCCTAGGGCAGGGCCAGGTCAAGGGCTGAGGTTAGAACTGAAGGAGCTACTCCCTTTCCACCCTCATCACTGCCCCTCTTCCTGCCTCTCCACTAACCTGTGAGGTTCTGGAGTTGAAGCAGGTCTAGCTCTAGGTAGGAGTGTGACTCAGCATAAGCATCCTCTCTGGGGCTCCCTCCCTGGGGGCTGGGCCCTTCAGTGGGAGCCCCCAGGAGGGCAGCCTGGCTGGGGTGTTGCAGCTGCTGGGATGGTGCCTGCAGATTTCCCTTTGGCCGTTGGGCCAGCCCCAGGGGAGAATAGCAGGGATCTGTGCACAGAGAGAGGGGCTGTAGTCAGGGAGGGCAGATGGTGGCAGGAGCCTCAGGGAAGCTGCGAGATTTGAAAGGCCCAGCAGATGTCCAAGGACAGGACAACAGGACAGAAGGCTGGGCCAGGGAAGCAACTTAAGATGGGACGACTCCCAGATCCTCAGAATAACCATCCTCCTCATGTAAAGCAAGGCAAAGGTCCCCAAAGTCCTGTTTTAGTTCCCAGCTTGGGCAACCCCTGGGCAGTGTCCCCCTCAGCACTGTATTATGACAGCTCGTGGTCATTACCTCCCAGCGGAGGTAGAATGTAGCTGACCAGAGGAGGTCCAATCTGGAAACTGGGAGCTGGAGCTGGGGCGGGAGTGGCCATTGGGTGGACTGTCTGGTCCTCTCCTGGGTGGGGAGACTCCAGGTCAGGGGAGAGACTGAGAGGCTCACAACAGCTGCTGCCAGCATTCAGGCCTCTCCCCTCTTCTTGGAGCACTTCTCTCTGTGAAGTCTCAGGAACTCCAGGAACAGTCCCCAGCTGAAAAGAGCCCCTCTTCCTTCCCTGGGTATATACTGGGGGCATTCACTCCTGACTATTTAGAGAACACAGGATAAAACTGCCAGTCTGAAGCTACTTTAGACCCAGGACTTTAACTGCGGTTCCTAATCCAGGGATGCTGTCACTAATAGGGCACCTTTGTGGGCATTAGAAAAAGGCTGTCTCAGCCTAAGAATACGGGAAGGGGGGAGGGAGAGGGGAGGTGGGAATGGGTGGAGGGAGGAGGATTGGAGGGATCACTTCTGAGGTTTATCTTACAAGGGTACAAGTGAATCTTTCTAAGAGCAGAATGTGAACGTTTTAAAATAATAACTAATAAAATGACACGAAGGCTATGTTAACCAGTTTGATGGAAGTGTTTCGGATTGTGTGTGAAAACCCCACACTGTACCCCAGAAGTGCATTAATGTACATAGTTACCATTCAATAAAAAAAGACAAAGAAAAAGGCTGTCTCTGGATGGAAGCTCCCCTGGGGGCGGGAGTCCAGCCCTCACTCACCACTCACTAGCTCACTTGTGTGGTGAACAGCCTGTACAAGTGTATATATATGCTGGCTCTGCCCTAACCTCAGCAACCTGTGGATGTACTTTTGGGATAAGAAAGCTGGACCCATAAATGCACCCATTTGTAACCCTTTGGATTTTCCTGTTTCATTCCTAGGTAAAGATGCTTTCATGTTCAGGCAAAGATGCTCTGGAAAAAGTCCAACTTACTCATGAGAAAAGGGGGACAGGAAAGCAACCAGATCTGGCCCGGCAGAAAAGATAGCACTCTCAAGGATGGCCCGGGGTGGGAGGAGCAGAAGGCTCAAAAGCACCAGGGAAGCAGGCACAGTGGGAGGGCAGAGGTAAGACCCCCCCCAGGGCACCTGCCTCCCCCAGCATCCAGGACTCCAGCTGGCTACCACCCCACCCCCATCAGAGTCTCTGGGGATCCTCCTCCCCTGAGGCACCTCTGTCAGCCCCTGACCCACTCACCAGTCAGGACACAGTGACAACACAATTCTCCTGTTCCCTCCACCAGGACCCAGCCCTGTGGGGACCCAAAGGTCAGGCCACCTTTCTACCTCAAACCCGCCCCATCAGCCTCCTCTGCAGGGGCCTCCACATAGTGCCTCCGCCGGACTCTCACCTGGGGGCAGCGACCCAGCGGGCAGTAGGAGGAACAGTGTGTGGTATGGTTGTGCAGACACTGGCACACCCTGCAGGGGCCACTGCGCCAGCGCTCCTCGACCTGGTGGACCTGGCCCTGGTGCTCACAGCCCTCACAGGGCTCCGTCTGGCACCTGGGAAGGGAGGGGGCTCACCCAATGTGACTAGCCCTCCTGTTCGGCCTGGAAAGTCTTGGGCAAACTGGGGCATTTGGTCATCCCACCCCACCTAGCACCTGAGAAATTGCACCCAGTCCAGAAGAGAGGCAGGGAAGGTACTTGTGCCAGCACCACAGCCAGGGGGCTGGGCAGGCAAGTACAGCCATATCTCAGGTACCTCCAGAGGTACAAGAGGCCAAATCAGAGGACCCATTCTTGTCCCTGGATTTGTCAAGCTGCATTTGTGGCCCTGTCTACCCGCTCTGGACCTCGAGAGCATGAAACTAAACTAGGAGAAGGCCAGGGGTTCCCAAAGATGTGCTGAGAGTCCTGGGGTTTAGACTGGCAGGAGCATGAGCAAGGTTCCCAATTTGGGGTCTCCCATCCTGGGAAAGGGCCTATAGCAAGCCTCCTGAGCAGGAGGTGGGGACATGCTGAGTACCTGCGGGCCTTGCGGTGGATGCCACGACACTGGCGACCACGGCCTGAGGGCCGGGGGTTGTTGGGGCTCCGGAAGGACCACTGGATGCTCTGACTGCCACAGGGGCCCAAGCATTCAGCCCAAGGGGCCCAGGAGGACCAGCCACAGTCCACTGAAGGAGGGCCAAGGGTCAGTGGCTGGGGTCCTCTGGCAGAGAGTACCCAAAGCTGGGTTGGGGGGTGTTTTGGGAGAGGACCAGGGACTGTCAGGGAAGGGGGGCCTCACCAGCACAGTTGGGGTTGGGCCGGCAGCGCCGGGGCCGTGCATCTTGGCAGGTGCAGAGCTGGCAGTCAATCTCGATGTGCTGCCCTGGCCAGTAGCGGGTGCCATCCACCAGGCAGGGGCACTGCCGGGGCCACACACACCCTCCCTCGATGCCCAGCACTTGCCCTTCTGGGCACCAGCAGCCTAGGAAGGCCCAGGGTGAGGCTTCCACTCAGGGAGCTCGGCCTCCACAGACCCACAGCCTGGAGGCCAGAGTCCCTTTACCTGGGCTGCTGCAGGGCAGGTCAGGTGGGCAGATGGCCTGGCTAGAGATGTCATTGCAGGTCAGAGGACATGGAGCACAGGGCCGGAATACCAGGCCCCCAGAGCAGGTGGCATTGAGGCAGCTGTCCTGGTGGCAGGGCTCTGAGAGAAGCCAGAACCAGAGGACAGAGGTCAGGGAGGGTAATCTGCAGCAGGGATAAGCCCCCCACCATCTGCTGTGCTCCCCTCCCTTCCACTCACGAGTCTGGTGGGTGCTGTGTGGGCCCCTGGGTAGTCCAGCACAGGTTCGGCCCCCATTCTGGGGTGGGTGGCACTGTCGCTGCCGCATCATAGTGCCTCTGCACGATTCAGTGCACAGAGACCAGGGAGACCAGGTGCTCCACTCACCATCCACTGTGAGGAAGAGGGGCAGGGTAGGTGGTGGGGACTCTGGAGTAGGGCTTCTTCTCTGCTCCTTCTCCAGGCCCCAACCCATAGCCCTCCCTGTAGCCCCAGGCCTCACCTGGGCAGGCCACACTAAAGCAAGCCTGAGACTGGTGATCGGGGCCTGGGCAGTGCTGCAGTACCAGGAGGCCGGGTGGAGAGCAGTGGCGGCTCCGGCCCTGCACCCCAGGCCCACATGTCTGGCTGCACTTCCCCCACGGGCTCCAGGGACCCCAGGCTCCACAACCCTGCTCTTCTGGGGAGGGTCCTACCTCCCCTGGCTCTTTGCAGTCAGGCTTCCCATCACACACCTGGGGAAGGGTGTGATGAGAGCTCCTGCTGTGCTGAGTGGTAACATGGCTCTGCCTCCTCCACCCATTCCCACCCTCACCAGCTGGAAGCCAATGCAGATGCCATTAGGGCAGGTGTACTCTGGGCAGGGAGGCCCTGTCCTGTTGCGGCTTCCGGGGGCTAGAAGCCCCTCTGGGGGAGAAGAGGAAAGAAAGCACAATTAGCAGGTTGTGAGAACACCTTCCTGGCCCACTCCAGCGTGGCCTTCACCAGGGGAATAAAATATTTCACCACAGTCCAATTTATCCTTGCACTGGGGACAGTGGGGGATCTCATCACAGAGCCGCTCAGGGTGCAGGCACAGCCAGGGTGCCAAACCACAGGGAAAGAGGCTGCCAAACCACAGCATGGTGGCAGCTAGTGGAGCCTGTGGCCACTGAAAGAAGTGTCCTTCTGTGCCCTTGTCCCCTCCTGTGCCCTTGTCCCCTCCTGTCCCCTCCCTAGAGAGGGGCTGGCATGGGCACCAAAAGCACTGGAGGGAAGGTGAAGAGGAGGCAGGACCAACATGCGACTATGCCCTTTGGGCAAAAGCAAAACCCCCTTCCCTCTCTTCCCCAGGCCTGAGTGGGAGGACAAAAGGTTTTCCAGAGTTTCATGAAAAGATCAAAGGAGAACAAAAGTCTGCTCTGACTCTGAGCACCCAGTTGGTCCTAAATCACTCCAGCTGCGGGCGCCCAGCTGGTTGCAGAGGGCAGGAGTGGGAGGTGCGAGTTGCATGGGGGATAGATGGGCTCAGCCTGTTTGGCCAGCTGGGACAGGCGGGTAGGGGCACGAGAGTCTCACCGCAGACGTCGGGGTCCTCGTCAGAGCCGTCGGGGCACTGCGGCACGCCATCGCACAGTTGCCCAGGGGACACGCAGTGCCGGCCACGGGCGCAGGGCGCATAGGGCGGCAAGCAGGAGCCCTCACAGCCGAGCTCGTCGCTGCCATCAGCACAGTCCTCCTCCTGGTCACAGCGCCAGCCCCGCGGGGTGCACTCTCCGCTGCCGCATGCAAACTCGAAGGGGCCGCAGGGCGGCGCTGCGGAGGGTGCCCTCTAACCCTCGTGTCCTGAGGGGCCTCAGAGGCTCTGCTCTGCCATCTCTGGACTCGCTCCCCTCCTGCTCCAGAAGGCCCGTCCTGCCTTCTGCCCAACCCACCTTCCACTCCTCCCCAAGTGCAGTCTTTCCTGCATTTTGCTGCCTCAATGGTTTTCCAAAAGCTCTCTCCTGATTCAAGAGACTTCCCTCAGCTCAGAGGGAGGTCGGGAAATAAAGTCTGGACTCTCCAACCCCCCTCAACAGCCCCCTGCTGCATTCATCCCTGCTCTCCACTGTGCCTGCTCCTTTCCGCCCACAACACCCCTAAACACCTTCCTCTGAGCTGCTCCCCCCCAGTTCCTCTCTCTGAAGCTTCTGCCCCCAACTTTCTCAGCCCATATCCTCCAGGAGACTTACCTGGGCTGGCACTGGCCAGGAGACTCCACGCAGCATCCAGAGAGCCAGTAGGAGGTATGGGCAGAGAGGGGAGAGGGCAGTGTCCAGGCCCCTCATCAGCTCCATCTGGACAGTCCCAGATTCCATCACACAGCTGGATGGCCCCCACACAGGTCCCATCCATGCAGGACACCTCCCCAAGAAGGCAGTTCATCTGCCCTGCAATCAGAAAGGAGGAGCTGGCCCCAGGGCTCTGCCTCCTATTCTTACTGTTTGGGGAGCCCCCACTCACACACTCATGGGTGCCAACTTCACAGCAAAAACCTGGCAAAGGAGGGGCACAGGGGAGGTTGGGGCTCACGAGGGCATGGGCCTTGTGGGAGGGGGTGTCTGGTGGGCAGAAAGCCAGGTCAGGGACAACGCACCCAGACAGGACTCTTCATCAGCAGCATCTGGACAGTCGGGGTGCCCATCGCAAAGCAGGGCTGGGGGCAGGCAGTGCCCATTGGCACAGGCCAGTGAGCCCTGGGGGCACGGGCAGCCCTGTTCATCTGAGCCATCTCCACAGTCATCCTGGCCATTGCAGAGCAGGGTGGGAGCCAGGCAGTGGCCAGAGCTGCAGGACATCTGCCCATCCCCACATCCTGGGGCAGCACAGTCTGGCACGGGGGAGCAGGTGAGCTCAGGATGCTGCCAGAGGGTCCCAGGAGGATGGGAATACCCTGCCCACTCCTCCCTCCTCAAAGTCATAGTCCCTGGCAATGGAAGCAGCAACTAATGAAGCCACCCTGTGGATAGCCACAAGCCACCCTGGGCAGAGCCCTGGGACCATCTCCTCCTTTTGGCCCTAGAAAGCTCAGTGACACATACAAGGACTAACCCATCACTATCACTGCCAACACAGGAACGCTCACCCTTCTCATCTGAGCCATCTCCACAATCGTCCTGGTTGTCACAAAGCCATGCGAGGGGCACACAGTGTCCACTCCCCTGGCACAGGGCCTCTCCCTCTGCACAGCCAGGTACCAGCTCCTCACAGTAGGCACCGTCACCCCCACAATGCCACTGACTCTCCTGGCATGTGCTGAGCACATGGTGTAGTAGGATCAGGCCGGGTTGGACTTGGCCCAGGGCTCCTCCCATGGCCCCTCTCAAGGCCCCCATCCAACTCACCAGTTCCCACAGTCCTTCTGCAGCACAGTCCCTGGAGGGAAGAAGCTGCCTCTCCACTCACAGGGGCAGGCTGCCAGCTCCATGCAGGCTCCTCCTGAGGTCATAGAGCACAGGGCTCAGAGAAAAAAGGCATGGTGGCTACTGGCCCAGCCCTGTCGCCATGGTCTATGGCCCCATCCCAATCTCAGTGCCCCCTCCCCTTTGCTCCTTCTGACTCCACACACCATGCAGCAGAGTTCCCGCAGGGCAGAAGCAGCCCTCCACACAGGCCACAGCCTGGCAATGCCACCTGGGCTCAGGATGGTGTTCATGGCAGGTGGGGGGGCACATGGGGCCACAGGCCTCATACACCTGTCCCCCTTCACATTGCAGAGCTAGGGGGAGAGGAGAGAGGATCAAGTCACTGAGGCACCAACAACAGGATGCAGTGACACCAGGCGAGCCAGCCCATGTGAAACCCACAGAGGGTACAGGGGTGCCTGGCATAGACCTTTGCCAAGACCGCCCCCCCACCAAGGGCCATTTGTGCTGTGTCAAGCTTACCCAGCCATTCTTGCATGTCTGGCACATAGCAAGCTTGCAATATGTATCTGTCCTTGAATGGCAAATGGCTGGCTCTCTATGGGGCAGGGACACCCTTCAAGGAGCTATGCACGTGGTAGGACTGGGTATCAGGAACTGAGAGTGGGGCATACTCACGGCACAGCTCCTGGCTGCGCCAGCGCACATGGTGCCCATGCCGGCTGCACTCGTCTGCATAGGCGGCAATGGCTGAGCAGAGGCACTCACAGTCACCCCCCGAGTCACACCTGTGGGAGGGAGTGTTCAGCCCCAGTACCCTCTCACCACCCTTCCCACCCCTACTCCCACCGGCTCGAGGTCTGCCCCTGCTTACCCGCAGGCATCGTACACACACTGCTTGTAGTGCTGCTGTGGAGGCACCTCTGCATGGCACGGGGCGAAGAGTGGCTGCAGCATCATCCCGCAGCGGGCCCGAGCCCAGGCAGCCCGGTGGGTGTTCACCTGCAGGCACAGGGTGGCTCCAGCACTATGGACCGGCCACGGCTTCTGGACTCTACCCCTTCCCTCTTCCTAGCCATACTCACGGTGCAGGGGTGTGGCTGGTCTCCTGGCTCAGGACAGAGGGCACTGAGGCGCCAGGAGTGGGCAGCCAGCTCTGGTGTGGGCTCCAGAGCACCCTGGCGGCTCCGCAAGTCGTTACTGGCATCTCCATCAAAGTCTCCACACAGCCCAGCCACATGACCATGGAACTGGGGGGACAGTTGCAACAAAACCCGGGTACCTGGCAATGGCATTGTGGAGAAATGACCCCTTGGCCCTCTTCTGGGCCAGGAGAAGATAAGGGGTACATAATAACTGGCCTGTCTTGGCCCTCCTTTGATCATGGGATGCTTTAGTGTGATTAATGAGGACACCTACGCTTGGGGGCTATGGGTGAAAGGACTTGGAACCTGTTTTCCTAAACCCCCGATTGGGTGGCAGGGAGATTCTCTATCAGGTCATGTTCTAGACCAGAATCCAGGCTCTAGGTTGGCCTGTGAGACCTGGTGCCCCAGAACTGTTGGTGGCCAGGGCTTGGAGGGGAGCCCAGCAGTGCCGAATCCATATGGGGTTATTTTGGTCTCCCTCACTTTCTCAGTCACAGTTACACAGTTATATTTCTAACATGCCAACTGCTTGTGTTTGGGTGATGGGATGTTAGGAGATTTATTTCCATTTCTTGTTTCTAAAACTTGGTATTTTCTAAATGTTTCTTTGGTAAGGAAGTACTGCTTTCATAATGAGGAAAAACAATTATGAAAACCTAATTTAGAAACTTGTGCGGACCAGTAGGCAGGGGTAGTGCTGGCTGAGACCAGGTGGGAGTTAAGGTCAAAGTCCCAGTCCTGGCCTGGCTGTCAGACTGGACATGTGCCCTGTGGGGGTATCAGGGGAAGGGCTGGCATTGGGAGGAGAGTTTAGAGGAGTCCACTCTTGTGTTGTTAAGCCCAGGCATAGGTCAGACAGCCGAGGGTAGGGGCTGACCTCCATCCCAGAGCAAGGTGAGGCCTAGGCGGGTTGTGAGCACCAGGAAGAGGCCTGCATAGTGCAGGCTCAGTCCAGGACCTGTGTAGAACTTCGGGGGTGTCACGCTTACCCCATTCACTGTCACTGCCCGACCTGTAGAGGGAGAGAGGCATTCAGGGCCAGCCTGGAGGAAGGGGACCTTCCTCTGATCCTTTCCTCTGATCCTTTCCTTTGATCCTTTCTTTGCTTCTCTGCCTATGTGACCTTGGGCATATTGTTGGACTTCCCTGAGGCTTAATTTCTTGGGGGCCTTCCAGAATCATGATTCCCAATAAAGAGGAAAGGCATCAGCCCCACGGCATGATGGCCAAGCCCAGTGAGGAGCTGGCCTGTAGTGGGCAGACAGAAACCCCAGACCCTTGGTGCCCTGTGGAGGTGTGATGCCATGGTAGTGTGCCCCTCCCTGGCAAAGTCACCCTTTCAATGTCCCAGCCACAGCCACCTCTGAGCATGTGCACAACAGTGCTCTCCAGATGCACGGCTAGGGCCTTGGTGCAGGTGAGCCCGCTGGCCCCACAAGGCAGATTCTGAGCAGAGACTGTGAATCGCTTTCTGGCCTCTCGCACCAGCAGATACTCGCAGGCCCCAGGGAAGGTGAAGGCCAGTCCATCAAATGTCACATAGTGGGGGGCTCCCAAAACCTGGCACCATCCACTGCATTGCTGGCCTGTGCAGTGCCACTTCCGACCCTGGCACACACTGTGGACCAGGGGGAAGGGGAAACAGAGTCACTGAGGACAGAGACACAGCTGGCCCAGGTCCCAGGCAACTCCAGACAGCTCAGCAGCATGCAGGGGCCCTGTAGTGTTCCTGTTGCCCAGGCCAATCTGGATATTTCACCCCTCTTGCTCCCCACAAACTCTTCTGGTGGAGGGAAGGATGATGTTTCGATAACCACAGGCCACAAGGTCAAAGGATTATAGGTCACAGTGTGACGTACCAGACATTGCAGTTTTCCTGGATGGTGGCATTGGGTGGGTACCACTGGCCACTGTGACGGCAGGGACAGAGGTCAGGAGGCACACAGTGGTCATCCTGAGCAGAGGGCAGGGACAGAGTGCACCGTGGAGGGCTGCCCTACAAGACAACCCTGCCTGCTGCTGTGGACAGTGAGGGGAGCAGGGCAGTGCCCTGGTCTAGGGGAGGTGACACTATCACTCCTTCCAAACTCACCAGCAGCACCATGCCCAGTGGACAGACACAGCCATCAGTGCTGCCCATGGGGCAGGAGTGGTTGATGCTGGGGCTGTCACAGGTGAGGAGGCAAGTGCCAGGGGCATAGACGAGCCCTCGAGGGCAGAATGCCTTCTGAGGGGGACAATGGCGGGCTGTGCAGTTCCAGAGGCCCCTTTCCTGGCAGACACTGCAGTAGGTTGGGAGGGAGTAAGAGCCAGACCCAGGCTTCCAGGGCCCTGGTTGGACCAAGTGATAGTCCCATGAACCTTGCTTGACCCTAGGGTTCCGGCATGAAGGCCCAGCCCTGATACTGGAGACCTAGGCATCTCAGCTCCCAACAGCCAGTAACCAGCGCAGGGAACTGGGCTGTTTGCAGCACCCTGACATGCCTGGGATAGACATTGCCACCCTTTCCTGTTTCAGCTCCAACAGGGCCATTTAGGCTCTGGGGCAGGGCAGAGATATTAAACAACTTGCTCCCAGCCCAGGAGGAGAGGGATTGCACCACAACCCTCAGGGGTGCTGCAGGGGGCAAGTGGGGCACCGTCCCACCACTGGCCCTACCTGCACAGATCCCCAACTGCCTTTACTTCTTATTCACAAGCTACTTGATTCTTTTTAGCTGATTTGAGCCTCAATTTCCTCATTAGCAAAATGGGAATAATTCTTCCATTTCTCACTTTATTAGATCATTGCAAGAAAGTAAAATTAAATAGGATGCTGTACACAAATGTGCTTTATGTACCCTCCAGTGCTCTGTGATTGAAGGGAAGTTATCAGCACTGTCACCCTCAATATGTGCACTATGACCAAGGCTACACAGCCTATGCATTCTCTCTCAAGCTCTACCGCTTCACCCTCACATTCTTCTCTCACTCTCACCCCAAGGTTGCCACCCTCACCAGTGGTTGCAGTCCTTCATGGTGGCACTGCCCAGGGCATAGCGATGAGCTCCAAGTTGGCAGAAGCACAAGCTGGGGGGAACACACTGGCCCTCAGCATCCCACAGCAGCCCTGGTGGGCAGGTACAACCAGCCACACAGCCACCCAGCTGCGCACAGTCCTCTGGCTCCCCACAGTGTCGACCACAAGCTGGGGCACACTCCTGGTACTCCTGGCCACTGGGACACAGGACAGCTGGGCACAGGACACATGCAGGTCAGGGGCATTGCCATAGCCAGCTCTTCCCACCCCCTGCAAACCCCTTTCCCCCAGCCTCTGTAGGAGGAAAAGCAATCTGCCAAGGTGGAGCCCTGCCCCAGCCACTCCTGGAAGGGGAGGAAGAAGAGGGAATGGAGAGGCTCACGGCACAGGGTCTGGTTCCTCCAGGTAGGCAGGGCGCCCTCCTGGGCACAGCGGTGAGCATAGGCAGAGAGCACTGGACACAGGCAATCCCTGCCAGGAGCACAGCCACACACGGCTGCCAAGCAGCGCAGATGGAATGGCTCCCTATCCACCAGCCCATGGCACTCCTTGGGAGGAGAGGAGGAGTCGGGTCAGGAGAGAGTCTCCATCTCTGTCCTCACTGCCACCTCTGTGGGTTTGGTTGGTCTCCCTTGATGCTTCTAAGAGCCCAGGAAGAGGACAGGACAGGTGTTGTCCCATCTTACAGGTAGGGGAGGAGCCCGAGCTGGCTACCTGGAATGCTGGGCCATGCAGAAGGGCACAAGCTGCCTCTGCGAGAGTGTGGCGCTGGGAGTGGGTGCTGCAGGGGCCAAGTGGGGCACCGTCCCCTGAGGGGCATGTTCCCTCGCCTGCCACCTGGAACTTGTTAGCAAAAGCAGTAATGCTGGTCTCCACATCTCCAGCAGGGGTCAAGAAGTCATCCTGCTGGTTCCAGGAGAAGGTGCCACATAGACCCTGCACCTGGGCCACAGGAGCACATGTGAGAAAGTCCTGTCCCAGTATGGCCTTACGCAGCCACTCATGCCCACCCTGGCATACCTGGTGGGCATGGCGAGGGTCCAGGGTGATGTAGGCAGCAGGGTCCATCACTCCCCAGAGGACCTGGGCCCCGGGCCAGCGCAGCAACAGGAAGGCAGAGGAAGCACGGAAGACACTGAGGCCCCCAGCACCCATCCAGGGCAAGCTCACGTCCTGCCCACCGACCAGCACAGCACCTGGAATGGGGGCCTAATGATGGGGCATGGAGCACATGGAGGGACAGGCCTCCAGCAGGGAAGGACCTAGGTGGGTGGGCTGCAGGGGGTAACTTGAGTGACCCCTAGAGGTCCCCTGTCTCACCTGAGCCTCCAACCCATCCCCAGAGCCCAAGGACCACCCTTAGCACACATTTTTGCCTGTTCTTTCCCCTTTGTGGCCAGTGGGCAGGTGAAGCTGAGCAGAGAGCCAGATGGGGGTGGGGGTGTAGGTGGGGGTAGGGAGTGGAGAGTTGGAGGGATAGTCTAGGAGAGGGCCCACCTGGTTCAGCCATACTGTGAGGAATTTCTGATGCCCATAGCTACTTGCATTTCACCAGAAACTCCAGCACCACAGGGCATGTGGGGAGTGGTGATAGGAAGCTGCTGGGTGCCCCAAAGAGGCAGAGTCAGGCTACCTGAGTCCCTGAGCTGAACATGGGTGTCCCCCAGGGAGACAGAGATGGCATGCAAGCAGCTCCCAGAGTCACAAGCCCCGTGCTCCAGCTCAATCCGCAGCTGCCCCTTCACATAGTCCTGGGACAGATGAGGGGTCATGGGCAGGTGGGCCTCTGCCTCTGTGCACACCTGAAGGCCGCTTCCACCCTGCTCCATGGAGTGACCCACCCACCTTCCCACCTGCTAGCCTCCCCATGAGGGTTGGCACCCCATGTTGATGTCTGTGTGCATGGCTGTGTATGTGCACATGTGTGCATATGGAGGAATGTGTTTGCGCACGTTTGTGTGCACAGGAGTGTGTACATGTGCATGTCTGCATGTTGAGATGTCTCCCCTCTCTCCTCCCCATGGGTAGGCATATCCACCTATATGTGTGCATGCAGGTGTGGTCTAAATGTGTGAGTGTATGTCGTGTGTGCATGCCTGTTTGTGTCTCTGTGCATGTGAACATGGGTGCATGTATACATGTGTGTCTGTGTGCACACAGAAGGGACCCAACTGTACTGGGGAGGGAAGGGTGCACAGGAAGGCCTCTTATCTCCCCTGACGTTGTTTTTCATGAAGTAGCCTTTGACAAGCTCAGCCTGTCCCATCTCTGAGAGAGGACTGAGGTTTGTGGCCCTGGTTAGTGGCCACAATAGCTGGGCTTTCAGGGGGGACCTAGGGAGGAGGTGAGAACCCAGAGGGAAGCTTTGGGCATCACAGCCATCCTCTTTCCCTCCAGCATTGATTCTCTCTCAGCTCTTCCTGGAAGGACTGTGTGTTTTTATTATCTATTTGGTTTCCTCATAGCTTCCTATCCCTTAGGAGGGCCTCTGCTATGGCAAGAGCCCCTCTTGGAGCTGGTCCTCTACCCACCTGCACCAGGCTATAGCGGCACCCCCAGCCACCACGGAAGGAGTAGCTCCGTCCATCGAAGGTGAGGTAGTGGCCGTCCCCACCCACTGTACACTCGGCCGGGCAGGGGCCCTGGGTGCAGTGCCAGTGGCCATCCTGGCATATGCTGTAGGTACATGAGGGGGCTAAGCTAGAGATGACTCTCCAACATCCTGGTTCCTTCCCTCCCAAGTACCCCCCACCACTGGAAGGGGTGACAAAATCTTTAAGCAGGGCCATTGGTCATGCCAGGAGTGAGCCCAGGCCACTGTGAGGAAGGCCCTGAGCAGACTGGAGATGGGGAGGCGGGTTAAGGAGAGCAGTGAGCACTACATGGCCACCAACCCCAGTGAGGACGCACCATAGGTTACACAGCTGGCGCACAGTGTCACCGGGAGCATAGCGCTGGCGCCGGTGGTAGCAGGGGCAGCGGGCAGCAGGCACACAGAGGGCGCCATCCCAGAAGAGGCCATGTGGGCACTCACAGCCACTCACACACTCCGCCTGGCAGGACCCCTCCTCTCCCTGGCCCACTGCCTGGCAGCTGGCCGGACAGGGGGAGGCACAGTCTGAGTAGAGCTGGCCCCCAGGGCATGGGCGCTCTGTGGGCAGAGGAATGGGCCGTGAGTGGCTGCAGCTTCCACCAGACCCTGAAGAGCCCACAGGGAATGCATTTGGGAGTGGCAGCCGCCCTCAGTTTGGCAGAGTACGAGGTCCCAGCAGTACCACAGAAACCAGGCTTCCTCCAGCCAATGTGGATATGCTGCCTGGCACAGGCCTGGGCGTAGTTGGCAAAGGTGGCGCACACAGCCTCCTGCCGACCCTCTTGTCCACTGCCCACAGTGGGCCCTTTGCAATAGGCAAAGAGGCAGATCTCATGGTACTCAGCAGGGGGAACCTGTCAAGAAAGAATGGCTCCTCAGCCAATGAAGTCTTCTCTCCACCAGCACTCTGGCCTCTTGCTTCTACACACCAGACTTATAACCAAACAGAAAGCTCCAGAAGGCACCTTAGTGATCTTGTAGCAAACCAGCCTCTCATTCTCCAGAGATAGAGCAGAGCCCAGGAGAGCATGGTTTGACCCACAGCCCAAGGCAATCTCATGGTAGGGCAAGACCACCTGGTGGCATCTCTCTAGCACCCCCTAAACCACCACCTTCACCCCCTGGACTGGACACCACCTTTGCTCCCTCAGTTACCTGGGCATGGCATTGTTGGAAAGGGATGTCCAGGAGCTGATGGCACACATCCTGCGCTTCAGCCTGCAGCTGGCCAGGTTCCATGCCTGCCTCTGTGTTCCACAGGGGGCCCTCGCAGCCCTGGGCTGCCTCCACTGCATCCAGACACCCAGGCTGGGGACGGTCAGGTCAGTCAAGTAGAGTGGTGAGGGACATGAACCAGGACACCAGGAAAATGACCACTGCTCTCACACCTTCATCGGGGTCCCATAATCATGCCCACCAGCCCATACCCTGAGGCTGTGGGGAGCCGCAAGTCCAGGTGGGGAGGTGAAGGAACTGAGGCCCAGCTAGCTCAACAGGAGGCTCAGTGACTAAGTGATTCACCAGAGCTGCTCAGGGTCCCTGAGACCTGCTCCTCTACCCCTGCAGGTCTGAGAGAGGGCCAGGCTGCATCCTAGAGGACAGGCTGGCGATGGAGCCAGGACAAGGTCCTGGAGATGCAGGAGCCAGGCTGGGCTGAGAAGCCAGGAGAGGGCAGGCAGGAGAGGGAAGGGAACCCTGGGCGTCAGTCTCACCTCTGAGTCAGGGAGCCTCCAAGAGTTCCCAAAAGTGGCAGCTAACACGGCCAGCCCCCCACCAGGTTCCAAAAAGTCATCTGACAGAGGCAGAGACAGGGGTGCTGGAGTTGGGGGCTGCTGTCACCCCTTCCCTACTAGACCACCAACCAAGTCACACTCTACTCACCCTCAGGCCGGCCATTGTAGAGCCCACAGAGGCCTTGTGTCTGTCCCCAGAGCTCATGGTCCACAGAAATGGAGATGGAACCAGTCCTGTCCAGCCGTACCACGACCCCCAGGCCCCCTGACAGCACCAGCCAGTCCCCCAGCCACTGCAGGCTCAGCCCTGGGCAGGGAATGAGGTCACTGGCCTTCTGCATCCACACTCCCCTCCTCCCACCACCACAGCAGGGCTCAAAGTGCCCAGGGCAGGAGAGTAGGAGGGAAGGAAGGAATTATCACAATTCTAGAGAGTTCTGTATTTTTCCCAAAAGTATACACGTGTACTTTACAGCACAGAGACTGTTTTCCATCACAGCCTGCTGTGAGATGTTCATGAAGGTTGCAGACACTTTCTTGAGAGAGAAAACTACACAGCACACTCACACATGCATACACACTTGGACACACACACACAGGTGCGCACACAGGAAGCCTAGCTGAGACAAACGTGGGAGAGCTTCACATGGCTTAGCACCAAAGCACTTCCTCACCACACTCCTGTGAGGTAGGTGGGGAAACTGAGGTGCAGGGAGTTTAAGCAGAGGGACTTGCCTGTGGTCAGACTTCCCAGAGGAGCAAAGGGGCCCCAGGCAGTCTCTTGCTCCCATAGTGTCCTCACCATGGAGCAGCCGCGGCTCCCCTTCAGGTACCAGCTGCCCCTTCACCGAGACATTTCCACCCTCAATCAGCACCTCCTCGGGTCCCATTGTCACCCGGACCTTGGGGAGCGATACATAGTGGAGGGGGCATCAGTGGTTCTCCTGTGTCCACCTTCCTCCCTGTGGAGCCCCCTCTTGGTCCTTGTTTCCCTCCCTCACCAGCTGACAATGCCCAGGATGGGGGCACTGGTTGCCAGGCCTGAGGTGCACAGCCCAGCTGGAATCAGCAGTGCCCGCCAGGAGGTAGGTGCAGTGGCCCAGAAAGTGGTAGTGGCGTCCATCAAAGGTGCGGTAGTGGAAGTCTGACCATGTAACACAGGTGGCGGAAGGATGCTGGCGCTGGCTCCAGAGTTGACCCACAGCCCCTGCCAGGGGCTGCAGGAGGGCTGGAGGGGAGGCACTCACTGGGCAAGAGACACAGTGATTGTGAGCCTCTGAGCATGGGACAGAGGGCTGAGGTTGAGGGCACAGGGAGCCTGGCAGAGCGGGATGTAGGACAGCACATGGTCACTCTGGTGGGCCAGAGAGCAGGCATGGGCCCTAAAGAAAGGCCCAGAGCTCAGGAACTCCATGTGGGAGTGCTTGAGGTGTTGGCCAGGACTGTGGTCATTTGGCAGGCTGAGGCCACCAACTCACCTGGTAGGTGTTGCCTGGAGCAACTGAGGCAGGACTGGGAGCTGCCGTTCCACCAGCTACGTCCCCAGGGATGGGAACAGCACTCTTCCAGGCTTCCTGCCGAAGTATTAACCGAGTCTGCCCATGGCCGGCACTGCCATGTGGCAAAGCAGTGGCCTTCGGGACTAGCATCGTCGTGGAGGGCTATGGTGGGTGGAGGAGAGAATGGGGTGGACCCAGGTGGTAAGTGTGGGGGCAGCCTGCTACCTCCCCCACACCAGAGATCTGGGCTATCCTTCCCTGCCCAGGACCCCCACAAGGTACCAATGCCCTGCATTTGCTTAGGTGCTTACCCTCTGTGCAGTGGGCACCCCCCCAGCCTGGGCAGCAAGCCCTCACTGTTCGGTTCCATGTGGCAGGCCGGGTTTCTGGGGGTCTGTACCCACCAAGCAGGTGTGAGCAGGGAAAGGGAAATGTTAGAGCTCAGCCCAGTCCCATCACAGGGAAGGGCCTACAACACTTGGCCAACCACTCTGAGGGGCCTCATCATGTAACTTCCCTCCCTGGCCTCCCCTATGTGCAAGGTGAAAATGATGTTAGGAAGGCAGACAGCTCCAGGCCTTTGCTGCTCTGCCCAGCACAGTGCCATTCACTCACCCACCCTAACCTTGGAGCCCACCCAGGATCTATCTCCCAACACCTGCTCCGACCAGGCCAGTTCTGGTCCTCCCACACTCTCAGGGTGTCTAGCCTATTTTGCCTTTCCTGCCCAGCAGACAGCCCAGGCTCTGTCCTCACTCACTTATAGATGGGACAGAGCCCAGGTCCTGGGGGCCTGAAGAGTCCCACATGGCGACTCCCAGGCAGGTCCAGCTGCCAGCCCAGGCGGCTGTAGTGGTAGAGGCTGGCACACGGCACCAGGTCCTCCTGACGAGGGGCTACTTCCTTCTCCAAGTGGATGGTTTCTGTGTGCTCACACCACCGCCTGTCATGATGAGGACCCACAGTTGTTGCCACTGTTACCTCTGTCACTAAGTAGCCCTGTCCTGTGACCCTACTCCCAAGGGAGGTTATTGGTTAAGAGGTGGCTAAGGTTAGGAGGATCTCAATGGACAGGTTCTGGGGTGGGCTGCTTACCCGATGGCCAGTGTCCATGCCATCCCGAAGACGAAGGCAGGGAGCAGCATGGTGCCCTGCACCCCTGGTTACCTTTGGGGGAAAGTAAGGCTTGGGCTGGGGGAAGCAACGCTGCTGCTGATGGACAGGGAGTCAGGTCCTGCTCTTCATCTGCAGCCTCTGCTGCAGCTCTGCTGTCAGTCCTTAGCACTGGGGAGGCTTTATCCCAGCCTCATGCCCAGAGCACCAGCTGCCCACAACTGGATTGGACGCTCCCATGCCCTCACCTCAGAGGTCAGCTCTCCCAGGAAACAGTTCCCTTCCCACCCTCTCCTAGAGTATGTGTTCATGTGTGTGTGAGAGAGAGAGAGAGAGAGAGAGAAAGAGAGAGAGAAAGTCGGGGTAGGTGGGGGGGGGGGCACAGCCAGATATTCTGAGCCTCTGATATGCACAACCATAAATTAAGTTGGGACTCTGGGCAAGCCACCCTTCCTTTCTAGACCTCAGTGTCCTTACCAGCAAAAACTTTAGGGACTTCCCAGGGATACACAAATGAGACTCAGGGACTCTGAATTCTTTGAAATTGTACATGTATGTATGCACATTTTTCTGAGGAAAGTTCCTTAACTTTTACTAAATTCTCTTGGGAGTATGATCCTCCCAGCCCTGTTCTCCTGCCTCCTCTGCCTTTCTCCCACAAGGCACTTGGGCAGGAGGGCCAGTGAGCAGAAGCCAGGTTTCCAGGGTGGCTGGAGTTCTCTGAGAGTGTGCAGACAGGTGGACAGGATGGACCCTTTCCCCATGGGATCTAGTATTTTACTGCGTGAGTGGCTGGGCCCACCCTGTCTCTTCTGGGAAGGTCTCCTCGGGTCCCTGGGGCCCAGAACCAGGGAGCCCAAGTTCAAGAATTCGAGGAAGCCTCTGGAAGAAGTGCCTGTTGGTGGGGGGAGCTCTCCCAGCCCAGGGGCAGGGCTGAGCCGGATGGAGAGTCCGGATGAGAGGGGGCCAACACTGTCTCCATGGGGGAATCCTGCTTATATCCTGGTTCCAGCAGAGCTCTGAGGAGATTTCATTTCCTTTCAGCTCCTAAACCTGATGTCCCACCTGGCACCCTACACAGTCATCCCACCTGTGGGGAGGAGCAAGGTACTAGGAATAACAGCTGGACTGGGCATTCCTTCTCCTGGGCCACCAGTGGTCCTGGGGCAGAGGGTCCAGTGAAGCCATCAGGGGGCTCACCAATGATTAGGATCAGCTCACTCCAGGAGACACTCTCACACCCAGACTTCCTTTCATGTTTCACACACATGTACCCTCCCATGCACTGCAGCTCTCACAGGACAGGCACAGTGACACATTCTGCTCCCAGGTCCCTCCCTTCATCTCAAGGGTAGAACAGGCCTTGGGGCTAAGTCTGAGGAGGGAGCCCATGCTCTTTCAGGTACCCTGCTCAGGGCCTCTCACTCCACCAACTACTGATGGCAACCTGCTATTGTGTCATGCTTCTCTGTCTTCAGAGAGAGGATAGCCTGGGTTCCATGTGTCTTCATTCCACAGTATTCCCCATCCCGGGGATGGTCATGGTTGGCAGCAGGAGCAAGTGCACAGCGCACACACATGTTCCAGGCTCACTCCAGACTCTGGCTTCTGACCATAACTGATATGGCAGCATTTGGATTGGGAAGAAACAATCCAATCCATTAAGAGTCTCAGTTACCCTTTCCCCTAAAGGGGCTTAAAGTGAGGAAGCTAGAACCCAGGGGAGATGGGAGTTACATTATGGAGAGGAGTCTGGGAACAACCAGTGCAGATTTTAGCTCCAGAAGGACATGATTTGGGGAGTTTTCAAGAGTGGAGGTGCACCGGTGACAAGGCTGGGCCCAGGGATGGCTAGTCTCCCAGAAGCCCGACTGAAGACTGAGAGCAGCCCTCCACAGCTAACTGGAGGGGCTTTCCAGGCCAGCAGAGGGACCCATCCCCGGACTCCATCGGAGCCCTCCCCTGTCCCGGGCCCGCTCTGCGTCCCTGGGACACAGGGCCCGGGGTGTGGGTGGGTCTGGGTGGATCCGGGTAGAATCCGGGTGGATATAGGGGGCGGAGCCACAGTTTCCCAGACCGACCCCCCAGATTCCCCTCCCGGGGAGCGCAACGCCGCACACAGGGCTGGCACTCGAGAGGTGAAGACAGCAGCGCACACTCACTGGCTCCCTTCCCGAGCACCCCCTCCCCCACTACCCCCTCCCCGCGCGCTCCACCTTTCCCTGGCTCCTCCCTCGGTGGCGGCGAGCACTGTCCCTAGCAGCCCGAGTGCCCTTCCTCCCGAACGTCCTCTCCCTCCTCCCCTCCCTCGCCCCATCCCCTTCCCCAGTGCAAAGCTCTCACTTTCCATCATCTACTCTGGGCGCTGAGCCTCCAGACCATCACCTGCCCGCCTAACCCCGCGGTGCACCCTCCAGGCGACGCCACTACATTAGACCCCTGCCCCCATCTCCCACAGCCGCGTGCCCCTGGGCTGCCCTCCTGCTTCTGTCCCTCCCTCCACTCCTGCGCCGCTCCCAGCTCCCGCTCCCTCCGAGTCTTTTCCTCTCTCCTCCCCGCGAAGTTTCGGGGCTGTCAGTCTGTCAGTCTTTCGGGCAGCCCTCACCCGAGCTGCAGGCAGCGGGCGCCATTGTGACCAGAGGGGGCCAGGGCAGGAGGCCGGGGTGCCTGGGTCCCCGCAGCAGCCGGGAGACCTGCTGGCGCGCCAGGTAAGGGCGGCGGAGGCTCTGGGATGCAGGCGGCTCCGCCCGCTTCCTTCTCGGCGCTCACAAGAACAGTCACCTCTAGCTCAGTGCAGGTGACAGTTCTGGGGTAGGGGAGCAGACAGCGGAGGGGAGTGGAGGAGGAGGGTTGGGCGAACCTGCCAGGGCGCCGGGAGGGCTGTAGACTAAGAGAGAGGGACAAGGGGATCTGGAGGGAAGGGCGGAGGCTGGAGAGGACGCGGAGTAGAAGTCTGGTGGGAAAACCGCAGGAGGGTCCCCAAGGAAGCGAGTGGGGAGTCTTCCAAGAGGGGAGAGGGAGTGTGCGGGTTGAGGGGGAGGAGAGGAGAAAAGGAGGGGCGGTGGAGCTTGCGGTTTGGGAGGGGCGGGAGAGAAGGGCGCTGACAGGTGAGCCCGGGAGCAGGGGAGCGGGCTGGGACTCCGAGTGAACGTCAGGAGCCTGGAGACTCTGGGGACTAACAGACACAGGAGGCGGAGCGAGCAGGGGGAGGCAGGGGTCTGGTCGGCATGAAAACTTGGGAGATGGTGAGAAGAAGTCAGAGAGAAGCAGAAATGGGGAAGGGGCCAATGAGGGAGACGACAGGATGCTAAGGTGTGTTCAGATGGGAGGAGGGGGCGGGGAAAGTGCAGAACCGCTGGGAGGGTCCGAGTGAGAGGGTCAGCCTTAGACACCCCGGCTGTTTGGGGCCTGAGGACATGGGAGCTGGGGGGCGGCCTGGGGGGAGGGAAGAGCGGTTCTCGGGACTGGGGACCAAGAGGGAAGCCAAGCTCGAGCCGGCTGGGGAGGTAGAGGGGGAAGGGAGGCAGGGGCCTCGTAAGGGGAAGGAGAGCCACGGGAGGGAGGGGAAAGAGGAGGTTGGAGGGTGAGGGCTGGGGTGGAGGAGTAGGGAGGTGAGAGAAGGAGAGGAGAAGGAAGGGAAACCAGAGTGGAAGAGAAGGGGGAGGAGTGGGGAGGAGAGGGAGGGAAGGGAGAGAGGGAGAGGAAGAAAAAAAAAAAAGAAAAAAAAAAGAAAAAGAGAAGGGGGAGGAGTGGGGAGGAGAGGGAGGGAAGGGAGAGAGGGAGAGGAAGAGAGGGGAGGGAGAGAAAAGAAGGGTGGGAGGCAGAAGAGGGGAGAGGATAAGAGGGGGAGGGGAGAAGGGGGGGAGGGGAGGAGAGAGCTGGGTGGAATAGAAAAACTAAGAGGAGGAGGGCGGGTGTAGGGGAGGAAGGAAAAGAGGAGGGGGAAAGGAAGGGAGAGGGTGAGCAGCTAGGGAGGGGAATGGAGCGAGGGAGAACCGGGAGGGCAGAGAGAGGCGGCCTAGAGCTGGGGGGTGAAGGGGTGGGAAGCAGGGATGGGGGAGGGAAACGCAGCCACTGACTGCCCAGTGAGGAGGGTCAGGAGGTGGTGGCTGGGGAGGACGGGCCAGAGGGGCCTTGAGGGGGTGGCCAGGCGGGTGCGGAGAGGGCGGGCGGGAAGAGCCGTAGGGGCGGGGCAGCGGAGGAGCGGGTAGCCAGCCCGATTCGCAGGGAGAGAAGGCGGAAGACAGAGGGAGCGGGGAGGGGAGGGGCAGAGGGAAGGCTGCCCGGGAGATTGGGGGTGGGGAGTCTGCTGGGGGAGGGGAGGCTACTGGGGGAGGTGCAGGGAGGGGAGCACAAGGAAGGTGTTCTGGCCTGGGGAAGCCCCTGGGAGAAAGGGATGGTTTTGAGGTAGGGGTTTAAGGAGAGAAAGCAAGTAATTTCTTACGTTTTAGGAGGTCCCTTCTCTGAGGACCTCCCCCACCAGTAGCACTAAAATGACACTCACCCCCTCCGCTGGGCTGGCTCCTATTTCACCAGCTCCAGCACTGACAGCTGGAGGGCCTGGGAGATGAAGTTTCCTACTGCCCACCCTGCTCTCTCACCTTCTCCTGCCTCTCCCCAGAGAACCAAGTAGTCTTGCACTTCCCCAGGCAGGGTCACGGGTGTGGCGCTGGCCGTGAGAGAACTGCCAGGCCAGGGGGCAGTGGCTCATTTCCAGAGCTGACCTGAGGTTGCAGAAATGGCTTCAAGGCCTTCTTCTTGAGCCATTTTCAAAGCTCTCTCTGCTTTCTGAAATCCAGTTTCCTTCATTTCCCCTATTGTCACCTTTGTAGATCCTGGGGAGAGCCAGTAGGTAGACAGCACCAGGGCCCAGGTGGAAGCTGTCCAGGAAGAGTCTGAACAAGGCTGCCTTTTCTCTGTAGGGACTGTGGCTGATCCCCAGGAGGAGCTGCTCTGGGTTGCCATGAGAGAGACCTTGGAGGCCCTCAGCTCCCTGGGTGAGCTGGCAGATGGAAGAAACTTGGGGGGAAGTTGGGTAGGAAGATTCAGGGTTCTACAACTCAATAAGCACAGTCACCCTCTGGAGGCTCCCCCTAAAGCCCAGAGGGCAACATCTTTTTCCATTTCATCAGGATGTCTTTGAATGCCTGGGACATGGTGGAGGCTGTGCTAGCTTATGTGTGTACATGGGCACTCACAAAGCACTGTGATACTTACATCATTCTGTCTCTTCTTCTGTCATTGATTCAACTGCAAGGGGCTGAGGTTGATTCCTGACCAGGCTGCTAGGAGGCCAGGGATGTCCCTTGTGCATGCTGCCTAGAGACCCTACCTTCCTGAGCAAGTCAGGAAAAGCTCCTTGGGTAGGCTGGGAAAAGGAAGAGCCCCCGCCTCTGATCACCAGTTTTGTACTGGATGCTTTACTTGGACCCATCTTTCTGCCTGTGACAGGATTCTCTGTGGGACAGCCAGAGATGTCCCCCCAAAGTGAGCCCAGAGAAGGATCTCATAATGTCCAGGAGCAGATGGGCTCTTCCAGGGAAGAGAACACTCTGGGCACATGCTCAGGTAAGAAAGTGGGGAACATGGTATCCCTCCATCCATCCAATATTTTTTGAGCACCTACTATATGTTGGGTGCTAGTCTAGACATTTTGATATACCTTTGTGGCCACATAGACTAAGATCCCTGCCTTCAGGGAACTTAATCCTAGTGAGTTTCGAGAGCCAACAAACAGTAAATGTAAAAATAAGGGAATCTGTAAACCATGTTCAAAGATAAGAAGTCGGCTCGGGGCTAGGCGCCAGCCACATACACCCAAGGTGGAGGGTTCAAATCCAGCCCGGCCCCCCAAACAATAATAGCTGCAACCAAAAAATAGCTGGACGTTGTGGAGGGTGCCTGTGATCCCAGCTACTTGGGAGGCTGAGGCAGGAGACTCGCTTGAGCCCAGGAGTTGGAGGTTGCTGTGAGCAGTGAAGCCATAG